GACTTATTTTCTCCCCCCCCCCCCCCCCCTTAAGGTGTATCTTCCCCCTAAGCATGCTGTTAGTGAGCTCTGGTTGGAGGATGATAAAATGTAGTTGAACGATTGTAAATGCTATGTATCTCATGGCTGTTATTAGTGAGTACCTCACCAATTGACATAGTACTAAAGTAAGTCAAATAGAAGTGATGCTGGGGGTGAAATGTCCAAAAAAAGAAGGTAAAAAAGAGGCATGTAGACTTCTCAGGTGCTGACCTTGTTAGTGCATTTTTTCACTTGATAAATTGCAAGATCACTTCTTAAAACTTAATTAATTTAAACCAAAGCAGTGGAACCTATTTCTGGCACTGAGCCAGAATACATGTCTGGAATACCTCCTCAGACTATTTATGCATCAGACACGCTGCATTGTGCCGTCATGACTGCATGATGGCAGGAGCTGCTTAACCTGGCTAGCTGTTGATTACACTCAGAGGTTAAGTTATTGGTTTAGTTGATGAAGCTTCAACAACTGAGTTGGGAAAGCTTAAACATATCCCTCTTATCTCATGTGTTACTGCCACAGCTGCTGGAAACAGTGATGCTTTGCCTGAATCACTGTATCTTTACCAAAAAGAAAGTTGTTAACAGAATCCTCAGAGGGAAAATGGTACAGAATTTCTTTGTCTGGTTTGAAATACAGTTGTCTGAACAAATGTATTTGTAAGTTTTTGAGTAAGAGAGGATTTCTGTCTTGATAATGGGTTTTTTTGCTGATTTTGAGCAGGCTGGGTTTAATTTTGCCGGATAGTGAAATAAACTGCATTTTTAATACAAGCCCAAAGTATCAGTCCTAGAATAATGAATTTTTAAATTTGCTGCGTAAATGATATTTATAGTGCTTTTGTTGGATTTGTTTGCATCCATGCAGGTTGAATTTGAATGTATCAATGAAAAGAAAAGACAGAAGAAAAAAAACTATAAAAACTCTGGCATTGTGAGTGTTAAGCACTGTGAGGTCAGTAATATATTCTGGTATAACTCTGTTTTTAAGTGTTCAGGCATAACAGTTCTTATCTAGTATGCCTTCACCCTCAACTTTAAAATGTCTGAAAGTTCCAGACACAGTAAATATTTAAGAGCTCTGATTCATATAAGGAGACAGACTGACAGCTGAATCATGTGTCTGTCCTACCCTATCTCCTCACTTTCTCTTGAAGATGCCATCTATATGGCAAAGGTCGCTTACCAATTTGTAAGGCCATTCCTGAACCACTGCATTTCCCAAGTCACTGTTTTATGGTGAATTAGAATCTGGTAAGTCTGTTGTAATATGTTGTTTTATAAATGATAGTGCTTTTGGAGCTTCTTTGTTGTCTGTCTGTAATTTTGTAAAAGGCCTGATCCTGATGCACTGAGTGTGTGATGGCATACGCTATAAATATCCTCACTGCAGTGGGTGGATGGGATATCTATAGAGTAAAAGTAGTGCCTTGCATGGGTGAAGATAACAAATCCGGAACCTCAAAAGTTGCTGCAATAATACTTATTGTTTTTCTCCCATTAAAAAAAAAAAGTCAATTTCTATCTTTAACTTCTATTTTTAGATCCTAGTAGAATGCACATTCCTTGATTACATCATGGGTGGGTGTCAGCTGAATTTCACAGTAAGTTAAATCATTTATATAAAGTAGCTTTTGAGTTTTGGAACAAACTGAAGCATATAATTGATTGCCCGTGCTCTTAATTTGATTATTGGGGGGGTTTTTTTGCTGTTGTTGTTCTGTAGCATGGAGGGGGGAAGCCATTTTGCTAGAGCCCATCTAGTCTGTTTAGAAAAAATTATTTTCCTTATTCAGGGCACAAAGTTCTGAACCTGTAGTTAGGAGACCAAGGAGACATTTACAGTTCTCTGATTTCCTTCAAGTTTCCTTTTCCTAAGGGCTCCCCCGCCCACCCTTTTTCTGACCAAGGATTTCACTTTTGCCCTTAATGGTGGTTTTCAAGGCCCTTTGCCATTGAGGTCAGAGAACGAACTATCTGTAGGCTTCTGTGATGTCTGGCTAGTCGTACTTCTGAGACAAAATATGTGTATGGCAAGATACAGGATGAAATTAATGTAACAGCTATTGAAGAGCTGCTGTGAATGGTAACTGAAAGTAAAAACACAGCAAAAACCTGACAGATAAAAGTCATTTCAGCCCTTCTGAGAGATGCAGAGCCTTCTGCTGGTTTTGTAGTGGCATTGTTTTAAGAGTGTTAATATTCCAAGAAACCTGCATCTATGTATTGTGCCTGTTAGATTTGTAGATGTCCTGGTAACTACTATTTACAACTCTTTCATGATTTTCACTTTGGCTTTGCCAGAGATAAGAAACATAATTTACCTCTAACAGCAATTTGATATACATATTGCATTTGACAGGTGGGAATAGATTTTACAGGGTCCAATGGGGACCCTCGCTCTCCAGACTCTCTGCATTACCTCAGCCCTAATGGAGTTAATGAATACCTAACAGCCATTTGGTCTGTAGGAATGGTCATTCAGGATTATGATACGTAAGTTTTAGATTTTCATTTAAATAATTTTTTAGGTATGTATTGATTTTTGTGGTAGTTTCTTAAACTGGTGTTGAAGATGCCAGCAGATATATTGGAATGAAACTTCTGAGCTGAAATGTAGAGCTAAAAAATTCTTCATAATCACTGCACGATCGCATACTCAGAAGCAGAAGCTTGTGTCTACAGCAGACAAGCAAGGCTTTTCATCTGTGATGTAAAGAGCAGCATTAATTTAAATAAATGCTTGCATTCTTGCCAATTTGGTGGTAAAGATTGGTTTTGGTCCTAGAAACAGTTATGGGGGGAACTTCCATTTAATTTTGCCTCTTAATGCTTAATAAACAGCATTTTTAATGCTCAAAAGCAGCACTGATTAGCTAACTTACTGAACTGTGACAGCTTTTAAAGGAACACACTTCATTTTCTTTAAAATTACTTTTTTAGAGATAAGATGTTTCCAGCCTTTGGATTTGGTGCACAAATTCCTCCTTCCTTTCAGGTAATGGGATATGTAAATGCACTACATGAGACAACTAAAAGCACTTACTTCAGGAGGAGATTGTATATACAGTCCTGACTATGTCTTTTGTGTATTGGCAGGTGTCACATGAGTTCCCATTAAATTTTAACCCATCAAACCCATTCTGTAATGGTAAGTCTGAGAAAGACCTAGAGAATAAAATGTCGAAGGTGAAGGGATAAACACACTTGAAAAGTGAACTGTGAAGCATGTTGTTCTAATTAAATAATGAGTTTAGTCATGTAGCAGGAAACAGTTTTATGACTGTTTTCTTAGTTAATATAAATAGCATTTGGTCTCTCTTCTGTAATGATTTGTGAAATAAGTGTTTTAAAGAGCTAGGGCACAGTACAGATAAGCTGGGAAGGGTTCTGTCATGTTGTCAAGCCACTTCATTCTACTTCACTGCTGGCGTGGAGTTGTCTGGTTTGAGTATGATCCTAGTGCCTGTTCAATGTGGCCTCTCTGATCACACTAGTAACTACCACAAGCTGCCAGGCAAAGGGAACTGTTGTAATTAGTTACACACACTTGAGTGTATAGTATTTCTATTCACATAAAGCCAAGCATGTTAAGCATGTGCATTAAGCATTGGTCAAGCTGGAGGCCTCCATTGCTCATGAATAATTCTTTTTTTTATCATGATTAGTTTTAAATCTTTGCATCATCACTTTAAATAACTGATATATACAGTGTTTTAGGAAAATGGAGTGCTTCAAAACATCCTAATTCTAATATGAAAAAAATAATATGATCTATTTGTGTTCTCTAGGAATCCAAGGCATTGTTGATGCATATCGGGCTTGTCTTCCTCAAGTGAAGTTATATGGGCCAACAAATTTTTCTCCAATTATAAATCATGTGGCAAGATTTGCTGCTGCAGCTACACAACAGCAAACAGCATCTGTAAGTTCTTTAGGGTAGTATGTGTATTCTGCTTACTTTTTTCTTTCCCTTCTAGTTTATAAATACTATTTTTCTCTTTTAAGTATGTTTCAACAGCTGGCCATTTACTTTGTGAATTGGTGTTTGGTACCATTAAAACGATATAAAAGCTAACTGATTTTTGCAGATCATACACAACAGTTGTCTCCTAAATTAAATAAAGTCTTCAGAGTTGAAATATCAACTTAAAAATACATGGCACTTTTATGAATCTTCTATTCAAAGCTCTTGCAGTGCTATATAGGTGTTAAAGTCTAATTTAAGCCTTGGCATATAGGCGAATGATCTAACGTCAGCTGAGAAAAATCAACTAGACCTTGTTTCATATCAGATAGCTGAGGGACAGAATTCAGTAAGGTATCAAAGAAATGGAGGATATAGCTCCTGACACCTAGTTACCACCATAGATAATTAACTGTCCATACTATAAAGCTTTAGGTGCTATATGTGCTGTGGTCTCCTCCCTATCATAAGTTGTTGACCTTATTAAGAAATAGGAGGTCTGAAAAGCAAGTTTTGAGTAATGAACCATTTAGATAATAATCCATGCAAGTTCAGGAAATCTGAAACCATATATATCCTAAATCATTGATGATAGCAAATACTAGTATCTCAGATGTCATGTAAAATCAGGAAGTAAAATCAGCTATTTTTGCATATTAAAGTACCTGTGGAAACCAATTTGGAAAAGAGCTATTGATTTTCATATGCCAAGAAGTTTGTAAGGTTTTGCTTTGGTAGCCTTTCAGTAGTAACTGTCATCTATATATATATATATAAGGAAAGTAGCAAAACCTCTTGTACTTATTTTTTTCTGAGACTGCAATATGCCTAGCAAGAGCTTTATTTTTTCTGCCTAAAAGCATGTATTGAAGAAATTTTGCTGCCTTGGCCTTTAATGCATATTGTAGGTATTTTGGGTTGGCTTTTGGTTTTGGTGTTGGGTTTTTTTCAGTACAGGGGAAGTATAAGAAGAGAGAAATAAATCTAATGTGATGTGCTATCGTGCCACTGGTTATAGCCTTCTCTGATCGTGGCTGCTTTGTAGATATTCTTGCTGGAGTGGGGGAGTGGAGTGGTGGGAAGCCATGAGAAAAGGTGATACCTGAACACAGAGATAAGGGAAGACCAGTTATTTTGGAGGCAGATAAGGGAAGATGGGAAGCAAACTACTGAAGAGGAAGACTTCTGAGAATACTGGGAGTACCTTTGGAAGTTGCATTTGTGCTGCCCAGGAATCATCTGAAATGAACCAAGTGAGAGAAGACCAGAAGTTCAGGAATTTAGTAGTTTCTGAACTTTGTACTTCTAGTTTGTTCTTGGTACTTCAATCCAGAACAGAGGCGAAGATACCAACTTTTAGAAGCCTTGTCAGTATAGTGGAAGTAACTCAAGTGGTACTTGAATAAATTACCGAAATACTGCAAGGTGGTTTCAGATGCCTAGGTAATTAACTTAATAAAGCAGCTAGAAAACATGATTAAAGGAATTTGAAAAAGGGCATTCTGTTTTTTGGTACAGAAAGATGTGTTTTAATCTATGTTTAGGATTTTAGGGATACATTATGAAAATGAAGGCCTGTTCCATTACCCTTGGTAGCACTTTTTTGTTCATCTGTTCTTAACTGAATGAAACGAAGGCTAGCATTTCATAAAGATATTGATAGACCAGAAAGGAAACAAATACAAGTTTCATAGCTGTTAAACTGCCATCTATCCTAGGACAAATACTTGGAAGATAGGTTAACTGTTGGTTTGTCTGGGGATTTTGGAGAGGAGGAGGAGAAGGGTGATACCATTGGTTTTTTGGGAGGTGGCTGTTTAAAGATTACTTCTTTTAAAGGATTGATTATGTTGTCCTTATAAATTTCTTTGGACTGTACAGATGAAGCCTGACCACAACTTAAGATGTTTGATTGTAAAATTCAGTGAGTGCATTGAACATGCTCAAAGTAACAACAGTATGTAGTCTGTGTGTGCATTTTTCTAAGTGTACATGTCTACACATTTTCTATTTCTCTGTCATAACACAGTGTGTATTGATTTGACAGCAATACTTTATACTTCTGATCATAACGGATGGTGTGATAACAGACCTTGATCAAACTCGAACTGCCATAGTTAATGCTTCGAAATTGCCTATGTCCATTATCATTGTTGGTGTTGGAGGAGCAGACTTCGATGCTATGGAGTTTCTTGATGGTGACAATGGAGTTCTCAGGTCCTCATCAGGAGAACCAGCTGTCAGAGACATTGTCCAGTTTGTGCCATTCAGGAAATTCCAAAATGTAAGTAAACTTAATGGTATGCTTAATAAATATCGTAGAGGTATGCTGGGTTTGCTAGGATAATCCTACGTATAGTCCTAAGCTTTTGCAGTGTCTCTAAAATGAACTCTGAAGTCTGAGATAAGTCTTTATCAAATGCTAAAAAAAAAAAAAAAAAAAAAAAAGACAAAAGACTTCAGCATCTGTAGGATTTCCATTAGGTCTGCTGATGCATGTTTAAAAAGACTCCATTTCTGGTATCAGCACTGCATTTCTGACAAGTTGCTGCAGGGGAATGACCTTTGTATAAATCTCTCCCAGACTTGATTAAACAGATGGATGTGTTTTTCATTTGGGAGGAAGAACTTACTGTGGTTTTGTTCTTATGGTAAAGTGTTTTTTATTGTGGATGCCCATTTGTAAACGTGGATTAGTCTCACATTTTAGTGCAGTGTTAAAATTCAAGGTTAAATCAGGGAGGTCGTAATCAGTAGAAATTGTGTGTGGGCACAATAGTGGTGATAGTTTTCATTTTCATTAAAGCAAATATACCAAAAAAATAGGTGGTGAAAGAATGGAGTCCTGATTTTTTGCTGTAGTACCCAATAAATATGCACAGGCTAATATAGTCCAACTTTTAAATGCCATATCGCTGGAAGTAGCAGATTTAAAAAAAAACAAACAGCAAAACAAAAGTTTCCTCAGGATGGGGAAGATAAGGTCATTATTTTTATTTCCATCCTCATATGTTCTAATTTGGTTTTGTTTCTTCATATTAACCCTATTAATAATACTCCCTATACCTTTGTATTTTGTCTTTGTATTTCTGTTTTTACTTTTGATACAAATTCTTTGTTTAATCTCAGAGCAACTCAGGCAAACTGAAAAGAGAAAGAGAGCAAAATCAATATAGATTATACTTACTGAATAATGCACTTGGATGTAGAGTAACTAGGGTCAATATTCAATATAAAATTACACATTCAAATGCTTTCAGTTTCTAGAAAATGGGGTGCTTTTTTTCCCATGGATACTTAGTATTACAGTAAAAACTATCTCTTAGAAGAGCTGCTCTGTAGCAATACAGTTACTGTGGATGAGACTTGGTGCAAAAGGTTGCAGATGATTAGACAAGCCCCTAAAGTATCATCTTAAGCAGATAGTGGAAGTGTGTTTACATGGCTGAAGTTCAACATCTGCACTCTGTGTGTGTGTATATTTCACATGACAAAAGGTATCTTAAGACATGGCAGCCCTTTGAGCACCCAGCTCCTGTTACTTCAGTGGAACAAGGCAGCCAGCTGATTCCTGGTAATGGGAGCGAGCAGGTAAAGATGTCAGAGAAACTTCCACCTGTCCCACAAGGGCACTGTGTAAAGCCCTCTATAAAATGTCAGACTTTAAATTGGTCTAGTAGAGGAGTTGCTTATTACCCGTCTTAGGATCTCTGTTAAAATTTGGTGAAAACTGAAACTTGATGTTCTTTCTTTCTAAGTCTCCAAAAGAAGCTCTGGCGCAGTGTGTCCTGGCAGAAATCCCTCAGCAAGTGGTGAACTACTTCAGCACCTACAAACTGCAGCCTCCTAAGAATCCTGCTGTAAAGTGAATGGGCTGAACAGGGAAGCTGAGACTTTGTGCTTGCTTTACTTGCTATATCTGCAGACTCTGGTTCTCAAGATACTTCTGTATACCTGTAAACACACACCTCTGTGTGGTAATGTCTGTTAGCTTTTGCCTGCAAATCACTTTGCCAAATGTGCCTTTTAAGGGCCAAAATCTAATTGTGTTAATATTTGATGTTGATTTGAGAGATAGGGCTTGCATGGGTGCATTTTATTTTGCAAAGTAAGAGTGGAAAAAAAGAGGTTGAATATGCAGAGAGAAGGGGAAGAAGGGGTGGAAGTGGAACAGCTGCCTGTTTGATAAATATGGCCAGTGGGAGTGTTCAATTACTTTTGTGGGATCAGTACTGAGGACTGCAGTTTCTCAGTGGTCGTAAAACCAGTCTGAAATGAAAAAGAGGGTATATCCCCACTGAGCAGATAAAAGTTTGTATGTGCTTCAACGAATCTGGAATACTTTAAGCTTCTGTGTCTATTAAGCCACCAGAGCAAAATTTTGTCACAGGAGTTTCATAATTAAACAAGTGCCAGAACAGAGCATAAAGGCCCTCCTTGCATGCCTACTTTACGTTTGCCACTTCAGTGCCTTTGGCCAATGCCTGGGATTCAGGGCTGTGTGAACATAAGCCAAACAAGTCATTAAAGTATATATTCTTTTATAGTATACATTCTCTTAAGGTAGTACAGGAATAACTAGGGTGAATCAAGGTGAACTTCTAACATCTCAGAATACTATTGGCCTTCAAGGCTACTACTGTAAAGGCTGTAAGATGTATTTCAGTGTGTACTGTGCTGGAAAACAGGAACTCCAGATTTTATTTTGGTCAGGGTTTTGTTTTGTTTTGGTTGTGGTTTTTTTTCTTTTTTTTCAATAAGAGTCATGACTACTGATCTTTAAAGGGCTTTTTGTGAAATGGGAATTCACTTTCTAGTTAAAAAGTTTTGTCTGATTTATAACTGCATATTTTCAAGCAAAGGCAGTTCTTGAAAGTGCTACCTATATTGGTTTCGTCATTTTGAATCATGCTTCTTTGTCATGAGCCTACTAATGAAAAGTGCCTGCAAAAACCCCAGTCTTCCTTCTTCTCTCCCAGTAGGAAGACATAAAGTCTCTAAGCTCTAATCGTGTAATCACACTGCGTTTCTCTAGGGCAAACAATTTCTGGTTTATTTTCTTGGCTTGAATTTTCTCTTCACCATTTACACCAAGTGTAAATCATATTGTTTGCTTAGTGGAAAGATGAAGCTTTCTTGTCTCTCAGTTGCATACTGCTTGCTGAGGATCTCTTCTGATCCTGTCAGTGCGTGTAAAGTAAGTGGATGTAAAGGTCTCATTTATCACTTCCAAAATGCCCATCTTGAACATTAATTTTGCAGTTTCACATTTGAAGTGGTTTAGAGTTAGGTATCTGACTGATCTGATTCTGGATGGCTTACCTGTAACATGTAAGAACAGAATGGGCTAACACTAAATTTAGAATACTTTGGCACTCAAGATTGCACCAGGTCATAGTGTATGTGACTTCTTTTTAGTTGCTGGAGCTGCAATGTGTGGTTGGTTTTTTTTGTTTTTTCTTTCCATACATGTATACTCCTGTCAAGAATCTGAATTCACATTAACATTGATGGATGAAAGGTATATGTACCAAGATTGTCTTACACATCCTGTAAAACATACCAAGTGTTTTGTAGAAAGTTGACTAGTTACCAATCATGAATGAATGTGTTATTCTCCACTCCATTTTCCTTGGTGGATGGGGTCCTGAATAGTTTCAGTAGTGGAATACTGAGGAAGAGATTTTGTTTCATATTAAGCCAAGCTCTTTCTTTTTTAAATCTAATTCATGTGTTTATATAAAAATTTACAGACATCTTTTTATCAGCGTAGTGCAAATGTGTTTCTACTTCATACATAAATTATAATGAAGTGTCATGCCAGATATGCAACACAAAATATTAAGATCAAGGAAGTAGTTATAATGAACCTAAATCACACTGCTGCAAATTGATATTGTATGATTTTGGAACAGTAAACTGTTTCACAGCTACATGCTCCATGTACAGAGATAACTGGATGCAGTATTAATGCTTTGTCTAGATTAATTGAAGTGGGCGAGTACTACTGATAGGAGTACAGGATACTACTGAAGTTCCTCTGAGCTGTCTGCCAAAAATATAATGCTGCATCTGAGTTCTGTTACCAATTCTGTTTTAAGTTGCCATGGAAGTGCATTTAAATGCATTTACCTATGTTAATAGGTATTATTGTACTAAATACCTGCTTAATATAAAATAAAACCTTCTGTTTTGTCTGTATTTTATACAGTAATTCTGAGTTTCTACAGTAGAGAATTCATTATCTCTTACTGGAAAAGTGCCCCCATGTTCCTCAAGCTTAGGGAATTAAATAGCATATCAACAATACCTACTTCTTAATGTGCCCTATTCTATGTAAAAGAAAAGTGTTTCAAACCTGACGGTGACAAGAACCATTTTTCAGGTATAATTTCTCTTAGAGGTGTACAGCTAACACTTGTTGAAAAATTTAGAAACTTACAAGTTAAGCTGAAGCAATATTCTGAGTCAAGGAATGCAGCAGATTGTGAATCAAGGGGGAGGGGAGTTACTATGTTGTTTTGCCATTTTTTGTTTGTTTTTACATGTAAAAAATGCCTTATTAGCTTGAGGGTGACAAAGCAAAATATTGTCAGTTTTGTAAAGTGAATGTGCTTATAGTTCACTTGCACCACCTTGTGATAAAAATCATGTATAGCAGTTTTTGTAATCAGATGCTTTTTGCCATTTAATGGTCTTGATTATATACATGTGTACAGCAGAGAAATAACCTGTAACCTCTATTTTTTACTTTCCTATGTATTTCATTTCTGATGAAGTTAACTGATTTACAGTATATATGCATTCAAAATATAATTTCAATATCCTGTTACTCTGTTGTGCTTTTGTATTCAGCATTTTCTATGTAATGATAAATGCTGCTTTTGCAGTTCCTATGATGAGTATTCCACAGGCTGAACAGCTCAGATTTATAACAAGTATTATCAGATGAAAGGAAAAATGCCTTTTCACTCAGTGGTTATGAATGTGCAGTGTATATTTCATAAAGCATCTTATACTGGCTTTTAGCAAGAAGATATTCTGAAATGGGATGGTTTTAGCAGTGACTGTTTCATGCTCTTTGCCATGTTAGAGTTCTCCCATGCATGGTATTTCATACAATTATCAGATTTTCCAAAACTTTTTTCAGAACAGTGTCTACATTTTAAGTAGAGAGTCATGGAGATTTGGTTATTTTAATTTTCAAATACATCGTTCTACTCCACCCTTCGGTTTCTTTACATTCAAGTGTAGTCAAGTCTGAGATGCTTTTATTGGCAGAGATACTAGAGACATAGTATTGCAGCAGAGCGTGATGCCATACAGAACCTGAGTGAGCTTTGATACTGGAAGTTCCGTTTTCTAAGTGCTTCAGAGTAATTCACTCAACTTCTCCACCAGTCAAGGATCCACAGGGTAGAATTAGTTCCTGAAAGGATTTAATAGATCTTGACATTTCTTGTGCTGTTCTTTCTGGTGAAAACCCTATAAATAGTTGCAACTTGGATTCCTGGACCCTTCCTCCCCTTGCCTATGCCTAAAAATGGTGGAATTCAGGGAAGGGGAAAATACTCCAACAATAGAAAAGTAGAATGTCAGAGAAAACCAGATGGATGTTACTTGTGTGTGGCCATGATCTTCTGCAAACACTGACACTTCTCTTTCATTTTGGGTCTAAGGAACTCAAGAACTGTGCATAACGGTAATTTTGCAGACAGAACTGACAGGCTTTCCTGCAATCCTGAGCTGTTAAGAGCTGTACCAAAGCAGCAACTTGTGGGATGATGCTCTGTTGCTGCACTGTAACACTTGCTGCTGCAGTCTCAGCCCTTACTTTGTAATATATGTCAGTGCACGATTGATGAACTTAAAAATGCCAATAGTGAAAATGTTTGAAGTTACCTGGTAGCACGTGTAGGCAGAAGGGGATTGGATCTTTTGCAATGAGAGAGTGGTTTACTAATTAATATAAAAAATGTTAAAATATGGGAGGTCATGTTTTTTCTCTCTTTCCATAATGTTTTGACAACTCTCAAAAAAAATTGAGAATCATATATTGTAATGAATTCATAGATCATCATTATTCACAGAAGGCCTCATTTGTGAAGCAGTTCTGCAATATTTCTAATTTTGAGATTGTATTGAGACGTTCCTGGATGTGCAATAGATGAGTAAGTTTTTATGATTAATCTTATAATTTTCTACCTCTGTTGTGACATCCTTTTTTTTACATACCAAACAAGTAACATACAATTAAAGATCGTTCTTTCCATGTAGCAGTTGAACCTTGACCTCACTGTTAATGCAGCAGAACTTTCTTTTTGAAAGAGATTTGGGTTTTTGTCATGTCAGAGGATGTGTGGAATACACAACATGTGGAGTTCAATCATCCAGCTTTGACTTGGTGAAAGCTCCTACTGATTCTGGTTGGGCTGCCAGCTTTGCCTGTGATGAGAGAAGTTCAAAGGCGTTAAAAGAGCAGGCCTACAGAATGCATAGCCTGCAGGATCATATATAGCCTGCAAATTGAATGTTTAATTTTGGCACGGTGCCTTCTGTGGTTGGCTGGTTAGCTGAGGAGCTGTGAAGCCTGCCCTTGCAATTTCTTGGCTTGGCCTCTGTGTAATGGTTTTAGTTCCCAAAACTGTTGATCTAGTGGTGTCCCGTCCCGCTCGGTGGGCTCAGGGGAGGTGATCTTTTAGATGGACCATTGCCGCACACAGGAGTCATGACAATGACTCAGGAGGGACAGGGAAAATTTCAACACCCTGTTTCACTTGGCGAATCCCGGGGTAGGAGTCATGACAATGGCTCCTAAATGCTCAAAATATGTTTTATTTAATGTTGACTTATAACACAAGTGTGGCTAACTTTGGCGTAGCAGATACTTTGAATAAAAAACTTGACACCTAACAGCCGTAGCAAAATACTCCTAACAACAAGGTAGGAGGAAGAGAAAAGAGAGAGAGAGAGAGGAAAGAGAAAAAAGGAGAGGCATCACCACCCTTGGATCGAGCGAGGAAGGAGTCTCAGAAGTAGCTGTGTGAATTCCTCAGGTGGATTCCTCAGGCAGCAGGCAGCCGCCTGGGGCTTGGTCTCTCCCCCTTTTTCACCCTCGTCCGAGAGGTCTTTGCGCAAGTGTTGTGGGGTTTTCTCGAAAGTTCTTGGGGGGGTGGGGAGGGTGTGTGTGTCTGTGTGTGTTACTGATGTCCCCTTATCCCATTGAACTTGTTTATACAACTGCCATGGTAAGGGCCTGTGGCAAAACTCCAAGCCTGTGGCAAAACTCCAAACCTGTGGCAAAATGCCTGAAGTGCAAATGCTAGCAAACTTCTCAGAAAGAGAATTGCCAGAAAGCCTCTGAGGCACAACCGCTAGAAAGCCTCCCAGAAACAGTTCACTACCCCACCTCCGCAGGGCCCGTCCTGTTTTGGCTGCTTGCTGCTACATGCTTGGTTGGCTGAGACAAAATGGTTGCCACAGTCTCTCACAAGTCTCTTGGTTCCTCACAGGTGGGGACTGAAAGTGGATAGGGGGAGAGGGGAGTTGCAAACCCATGGAAGAGAAAAAAGTAAGTGAGAATTAAGCTTAAAATACAGCTTCAGCCTTTTGTTTAATATTGCATCCCTTTCTGTGATGAGTCAATAGAGAATGCTGACAGTGTGGGAGCTCCCTGTTAGGAAGCTGTATGCCACTCAGCTGTGGCACTCATAAAGGATTTACTTTAGTTCACAGGTATGATGTAGCTCAGCCCTGGTAAGGCACAGGGCTCACTTTGCACCATCAATCGAGGTCTCTGATAGAGGTGAACAACTGGAGCATTGGTTGAAACTCTGCACCACATAGTCAGAAAGTGCAAATCCTGCTTTTTGTAAAATAGCCTTTATTTTTGAAATGGCCGGTTTAAATACCAAGATTCTTCAGAAAGTTAGCCAGTATCAGCTGCTTGCTCTTCAGAGAGCATTATTAGTGCCCCATCCCTTGAGAAGATCAAGTGTGTAAATCAGCAGCCCAAAGTTAAAGGTCACCCCTGGGGTGGGGGCTAATATCCAAGTCTCTGCCATGTTTATTCACCAGTCAAAGACTACTGGGGCAGATGTTCCTGCTTTCAGAGAGCTGGCAATAATTCTGTAGTCTGCTTCCCCCTTGTGGATTTTGTGATTTTATTTTTCGACAATGGTTTTGTTTTGTGGCCCTCTGTCCCAAGCTAAAACATCCCAACGCACAGCATCACAGCTTTCTGCACTGAGCCATGCTGGTCACAAAAGCAGGTCACTGATTACAAGTATAAGGGGAGGAGAGAGAAGGATCGAGAGAAACATGAGTAACCTCAGCAACAGCAGGGCAGTAACCAGAAAAAGGATAACTATGGGAAACCAGAAAAGAAAATAGAAAAGAACACATACAAAAATTAAGAGCAAACTGAGCAGCAGGAACAGCAGTAAGAAAGCAAGGATAAACAGGAGAGGGAAGAGGAGAAGCAGGAACAAGACAGAGTAAGAGATAAGGGAGAGCATGGATCAAACAAGAAACAAGTGGTCCTGAAATACAGTCTGAGCTCTAATTCCTATTACATCAAAGGTTGTCTCTTCAGGCTCAAGGTTAAGAGGTAAGTATATAAATAATTTGTCCAGTTGTCAGGGGAGGAAGAAGAGAAGAAGAGGAACTGGGGTAGATTTTTCTCTTGAGTAGTCTCTACTATTATCTTCTGTACTCAAAAGCAAAGTCACGCTAGCCCTCTGGATTCAGCAAGACAATAGATGGGGCCACAGCCCAAAGCACCATCTATTGCTTGTTTTTCTCTTTAACTTCAACTTTAAGGATCTCTCCTTCTCCTGCTCTGGGAGATGGAGACATACTAATGATCAGAGACTCATTACTGGTTCCCCTGTGCATAACAGCAGGTTTAGGCTTAGCGCCTGTATTTGGCTCTTCCTTTTGTGCAGGAGGTGCAGATGGGGCTGCGGGCTCCACGAGTTTCTTCTCTTCTCGTTCAGGCTTATTCTCTACTTCAGCCTGAGTTTCCTAGAAACAAGAAATTAAATGTTTTCCAATGCTGCAGAAGAAATTCAGGAAGTAGTTCTATTCTGTATATGCAGTGGAAAGGCACAGCATGGATACTGTGATGCAACATATGTAAATTTGTATTTAGATGCTGAAAATCAGTTTCTAAATGAAAAACACAATTTCAGAATCAGAATGTCAACATAAAACCTAGGAGAAGCTTGTGGATTGTGATAGTATCTGCTTCTTATTAATACAGCAGGATGAAACAGGCACGTTTTGGGGCACGCAACCCTTCCTCAGGTCTTGCCTTCCTTTATGTACTTACACTAGTATAGAAAGAAAAGGTGTTACGTAAATCTCGTCATGTTGCCCAGTGCCCCAATTCCTTGGCAAAGCCTATTTGCTGTTAAGTTCACAAACACACATTAAATTGACCAATGTTTCTGCTCCAATCATAGTGTTGTAGTCATTTGTGTAAGCAAAGTTCTTTATTTAACTTAAAAAAATAAATAAAAGCACAGCCAGTTCACCTATAAAAACAGAAAAAGATTCTGCCACCTTTCGGTAAATATGTAGAACTGAGCAGGTTCTTATTAACATTTCTCAGAACAGAATATAATATGGGAATTATTTTTAATCAAGTAAAATAGCAGTTTTCCCATAAGTGCAATATGTTAGAGATGTAGTCAGTTTTAGCTGTGTGGGCTACACTTTAAATTTTGTCTTCAGGATTTTTGACAACCAGAAATCAGACTTTGAATTGGAAGGGTCCACCATGTGCTTGAGTCAGCTGGATCAGATTACTGTTAGGATATTTCTGTATTTACTGTTGTGAACATAAAATTAGAAGATAGGATGCCCTTAGGGTCTTTGTAACGTCTATTTTATCCTTACTTTCTTTAAGGATTTTTGTTTGCTTGCTTTTTCCCTTGCTTTTTCTTTGCTTTTGTTTTCTCTATTCTGCATAGAGTCCAGGTCCAGGAAGATTTGAGCCAAATTTTAGAATTAGTGTTTACAGAGGTTAGGTACAGTGATTATATCTCAGCTACTGAGAGTTTTTTTCTGTCGATTGCAGTAACACTGCATTTTTATCTACTCTGTTTGCCTAAGCCCTCCCAGTGTCTTTCAGCACCTGGAAGAATCTAGTCTATTTTCTGTGGCATTACCTGAGTGTCTTCTTGTCTCTTCAGCTGCAGCAGCCTGGCAAGGCCTTCTTTTCCTTTTCCTCCAAGCATCGCTTTAAACAATTTTGGAGTTTCCTGTTTCTGCCCGAAGAGACCGGCCAAGCCCCGTGGTTGTTGCACTGGTGGTCCTGGAGGAGGTTTCCCCTTTGTCTTCAGCAGCACCCTGGAGACAGGAAGGAATGAGAACACACAGCATTGCTGTGAAACCAAGCAAAGTTCCTGCAAAACTAAAATGTCATATTCATGGATGAAAATCTGGCAACTTTTCCGGCCAATTTTTTTTGGTCCTGAGTCCAGTGGCAAGAGCAAAGCTGGAAATGGTAAAGGTAAGCCTCTACAGCTGGAGGCTACTGCTCAAATTTGCAGCTGCTTCCCTGTATCCTGGAGAATAAACAAGTGCAGGCTCAAATTAAGGTGTTGCAAAGCAGATGAGAATTTTATAAGGTGAGAAGTAGTATGGAGGGAGATGGATGCCTTGTACCTGAGGTGGCAGTCTCTTACCTGGCCTTCTGGATGGAAATTCAGAGAGCATTTAGTGCTCAATTGGGAGTCCAGCTGATGCTTGTTCAAGTAATAGTTTACCAAGCTAACTTCCAGCATGGCTTATCTCTCACAGGTCAGGTTAGACAGCGGTACTTACTTTTAGTCTTCTTCAGTAGAAGACGACACCCTGAAGATATAAAAATTACTGCCAAGCATGTGGCAGACAAGATTTTCACACCTTTCTATAGCTGTACTGATTTGCAGCCATAACGACAAGAAGTGAGAACGAATGACAAGGGTAAAGAGTAGATGATAGTTCCGAGATAGATGGAACCAGTGAAAAGCAGAGGATTCCTGTGCTGATTTAAGGCTTTTTATGAACAAGGACTATACTTGCAGTCTGAAGTACAGTAAATCCCATAATACTACAATTTTCTTAAGCATCTTGTAGTTTGTAACTTTGGCAATTTCAGAAGTGAAGATTTTACTTTTTTTAAAGTTTTATTGACATAAATTTAAAAAGTACACTTCAGCAGCTTGCGTGGGTTTATTATGTAAAAAACATACAGTGACTATAAGGCAGCTGATAATAGAACAAATTTCTTCCTTTGATTTTATTTCAAGGAGGCCTTTAAAGGTGTGGGATGGCCAATGCAATCCCACAGAGAACTCTAACATAAATGTTCCAGGGCAGAGCAACTGATAACTTGATTCCAAAACTGAACAGAACTGCAATCTTTAACAAAACAGTGCACAAATCTCCTGTCGATGCCTAGTTTTTCTAGAGACATGGCTGACCATATGCAGAGCATGGGAGTTTTGGAAGAATTAGTGGATACCTAGACAGGTGACCAGAATACATGCAGGTATTACATATCTTTCAAATTAAACAGGATATCCTGTATCTGTTCTGATATCTAGAGAGGGCTTTGAGCTCAAATAGGAGTGCAGATATGAAGGATGGATGATTAAGCTCCTGCAGCTGAGAAAAGGTTATCTGGAGGAAAAAGAATTTAATGGCTTGGCAGGGTATGATTAGGATGGGGAAGAAAGCAGAAGGCAGCAGCGTGGGACAGAGAGACAGGAATAACAAGTAACTGGTCATACAACTGTTTAGAAAAAAGGTGGAGAAAAGTCAGGATGGATGAATGCTGGGGACCATCAGTCAGTGGATTTGTTCCACCTTTCTACCTGTTGATGCTAGTTTTGAAAATTGGGAAATCAGCCCATTCTGTGTCTATGTTCCTTATTCCTCAGGGATGTGATGATTCTCAAGATACTGTTGTTTGACAACCAGGCCTGTTGAAACATGCTGAACGCAACCATCTGCTAGCACTTTTGCTAAACAAAACATCACTCCTGTGCTATGTTTAGTCTTCTCTGGTAGAATTTCAACTGTCTGGGAGCAACCTTCCAACCTTTGCTAGCAATGCAAGGCAACAGCTGAGAACAATAAGAGTGCTGAAGTATACTAATAATGACAAACTGTTTCAAGTATTTGGACCTTTTACAAGGTAGCAAGGTACACATTTTGTTTTATGACAAAATCTGACAATATTTTGCCCTTTCAAAGCTGGAGAAATGGTGACCCTAGCAAGCTATAGCCAAAGCAAGATGAACAGCAGTTAGGGTTTGAAATCCCATTTCAGAATCCTTTTGAACAAAATGCACACCTCTCTAATCTGTGTACTTCCATCTTGTTGGGCCTTGCTTTAAATCCATTCCTAACTACTTCTTAAGGTTTTGGAAATGCATACAAGTCTGTGGGTGCATTGAAGTGTATCTCTGTAGAATTGTGAGTGTTCGGTTGCATCTTTGAAAACCTACTCTTTAACTGACATCTGTCCTGCAGTTTCTTTCTTGGCTATGTAAGGAGTCCTGATATGCATCTGTATCTCCTATTTGTTTTGTTACCTTAAACACAATGGAGAAGGCAACTACATTCAGGACTTCATTCTACTTACCACATTTCCACAACCCTTGAAATCCCTGCCAAGACCATGACTTCCACTAGATACTACTGGGCAAATTGACCTCTAAAACAAATGTGTTTACATCTGTTTCTTTTCTAAGAAAGGAATGCAAATCTGTCTAGAAGCCACAACTGTCCATTCTGCAGCTAAATAATGTGATTTAAAAACTGTTATTAGGACATACTTTGCTTTCTTCATAAGAAGTTTTTCAGAGTCAGGATAGTGCACCAAGATTTCATTGAGCGTTTTCTTGTCCAGAATGAAAAGGTTGGCAAAACCATGAGCCACCACATCAGCAGTCCTTCGATTTCCTCCACCTGCAGCTAATAGGCTGGAATGAAAATAAAAATCATCTGTCACATCGTTACTTGACCTAGTGAGAAATCTCTTTGCTGGTGGTTGTACATTAAAGTCATCATAAAGCTCACTTACGTACCCAACTGTTGTGTCTGACGTTCTATAAAGGCCCTTTATGGTTGGGATTAGAAATATCTTTTTGCCTCAGGAAGGCAAATTGTCACTACTGGTCAGGCATATGTAGATGCTAAGGACTGTGAAAAGTCTTGCTAGGTAGAGACATTTCTCCCAAGAGACACCCACTTCAAGGACTGCGTTTGTTTTAGTCCTCATGTGAACTTGGCATCTCCTCAATTTTATTGTTGAAAATTATTTACATCAGAAGTAGAGCAGCACAAGTCTGTTATTGCTGAGTGTTATTTACAGTGAATGAATGATTCTTCAAGAATTTTAATTTTCCTGAGTGAATAACTTCTGTGGGACTCTGGTTTTCAGTTTTCTCACATACCACATCTCACATTTGAATGTTGGCAAATTGAATGATACAGGTTAGGAAGGTCTTTCAGGCTGACAGTTACAAATGTCTCTGCCAGAAGAAGGAGACTATTTTGTTTTCAAAGTAAGGCATTAGACCAGTTTAGCAAGCAGAAGTTGGCCATAGGAAGGATATCCACGTAAGAATTAGATGTTGTACAAATAAAAATTAATTTGTTCATCTTGCATTAAGCAAATGAAATGAAGAGACTTCACTTCTTAGCTTGGGTAGTACGCAAGAGAAGTTGCATTTTGCTCTTAGTACTAAAATTGCCTTATTACTATGTTCAAGGAGATCTACGCTAAAATTTGTCCCTTAAATATTTCCCAATGAGTTAATACTTTCAGAGAATATTTAGTAATCTCCAAATTTAAAAGTTATTAATAAAGGATAGTCTGGACCCCGTAAAATATGAAGAAATACTTATCTAAAATATTAATCAAGGATATACAAATATTGGTTTTAGTATGAAATATATACTATATTTATAAATATTAGATCATACAGATAATATATTTTATTTATAAAGGATAGTATGAGACATCTGCAACTGTGTGTACTAGGCTATTTTTACACACATAAACACACACACGCACAGTGGTTTTCTGCAACCCAAGACAGCAATCGATATATGAACTCAAGCTGAAAATGCAGTATATTGTCTTCTTTTTAAACAACTCTGTACAATTCCTCAGATAGAATAAATCTATTTGCACAATAAGAAAAGCAGCTAAAGAAAATTGCAAACAGCTTTAAGTTCTGATGAATCACTTCTCAACAAGTCATTGAACAATCATTTTCAGGCTTTCCTAACAGAAAGCTCATTTTATCGAGGCAGACTAGGACTGAAGAGATCAGCTTTTTCATTATTGTGAAGATGTGAGGTGAATTTTACAAGTAAGGCAGCCCTTACTCAAACAGAATCATCTTTGACTAAGGACAGCATTATGGACTTCATCACTGAATCTGTTTTGGCTAGTGTTCTAGGAGTTACATGATAGACCATATCTTTAAAAATAACTACATGTGCCTTGCAATGGTTCTTGATAATGTAATATCTATATTAATAGAGAAATTTGCTTTTTTTACCTTACATTTTTTACTTCAGTTGTTAGCCTGAAATGCTGTAATATTAGTATGAGATGATAACTTTTGAATTCTTATGCTAGAAAATTTAATTTTGAGGTATAAAGTTGTCAAAGTAAGTGATGACTCAGCTTATCTATTACTTTTTTTAAAAGCTGATCTCTGTAGGAAGCTGCTGTTCATTGAAATTAGCAGATCAATCCAGGGAATGGTGTGCGTATCAGCTGAACGTGCAAGGTTGTGGCAGCTCAGCTCAGCACCTATGTGCATATAGAGAGAACTGGTAAGTCAGGAAAGGGAAATAGGTCTGGGTCTTGCTTCTGACCAGGATGTTAAACACCGAAGGACAGAGCTCATTGAAAAGAAGCAGCTGCCACTTTGTGGGAAATCCTGGCCCAGAGTGGAAAATGTAATCTTTCACAAAGCTAAATACTGCCTGTAGTTTTGATTTTTTTTTAATAAAAAGTTAAAGTTACCAAACAGCTGAAAGGCTGAAGCTGACACCAAAAACTTAGAGATCTTCCTGTCAAAAATTTACATATAATAGAGAAAAGTTTTAATTTTTCCAGAATTATCATTTTCTGATAGGAAATAGTTCTAGTGAAATATCAGTAAATGGATGAATGATGACAGCTGGTTTAAAGTATAAATTTGTCTGGACTAATGAAGTGTTGTGTTATAGCTGAATTTCTCTCTTTCTCAATTGTCTGTGCAGACAGGCTCTCATTAAGGCAGCAATCTGTTTGTCTCTGATTCTAAGATTATTTTGCTTCCCCAAACTGATATTATCTATACAGAAAAGTAGTAACGAGGCTAAGATGTTAATTGGAAGGCAACTCCTATTAGTTAATCTGTTTCTGTAATAATTTTCAAGGATGAAATTGGCGAAGGACTTGCTTGAACATTAGTCTTGCATTGGCCTTCTAGTATAATTCAGGGAAATTTTTTGAAATAAACATTTTTTGTTTTCTCAACTCCTTTGCCCTCAGAGACTTTTTAAGCATCATTTACATGCATTTTGAACAGAGTGAGATTAAATAACGAGTGTCTTATAAATTGTGTAGTTAAACCACTCTGAATAAAGCTGACCTATTTCTCTAAACAAATCTTGAATCAGAAGTCAGAAGGAAATCAGTCTGATATCAGGTGATAATTACGCTATGAATACTGAGGGGAAAATTTGGATGTGCTAAATGAAGCAGTATTTCATCCATTAAAAAAATTTTTTTTCATTTGCTTCTGCTATACAGTATTCAGAAGACCTTGACAAAACTTACATAGGAAGGCGCTATACAAACTCATTATTTTCTAACACTTTGCCACAAGGAAGAGGATAAATCTCTACTGATACACTTAGTGCTTCATGTCTTTGCTTTTCTTCAATTTTGGAGATGTCTGCCAGTTGCTGTGTCTTTTCTCCTCGAGTTTATCCACTGCCTGACATTTATATGCAAATTACGTGTGTCTGAATAGTATGCTGCCACAGTAGGTCAATGATGAATAAAACAAGACTTGTAGGGTTGTAGCATTGCTGAGGGTTTTACTGGCCATATTGGCAATTGTGTAAAGAGTAACACGTATTGGGAAATGAATCTTTAAAGGCCGTTGTGTAGTTCTCACATGGAAACACGTGCTCACCTGTATTAGATCAAAAGTTTGAAAATCCCTTCCTTGTTTTAAAACCAGTCATTATCATTTCTCAGTTTAAAAAATAAAGTCCTTGCTCCAAATACAAGACTAATAAATAATTGAAAACTATGTGCATGTTATATATCTGGGCTGCTGTAGCTTGTCCTTTTATCTTTTCATTATTCAGCCCTTACTGAAAACCAGTGTATTCTTAGCCTTTCCACATAACTTATAAAGCATTTTGTTTTGAGGCTTTGCTCAGGTATTATATTGTCACACAGAGAAATACCTTTCAAATAACCTTCTCTCAAAGAGCTGATATAATTTCACTTCCCCACTCAATGAAAAAGTTCTGAATCTATGAGATATATCAGGTTTTTTCCACTTGAGGTCTAAGCAAGTTCTGGATACACGTCACTGGATAAACGGGAATGTTTCCCCTACTACAAAGGGAGACACAAGTAGAAGATAAATGTAAACCTGGCAAAGATCTGATTACCACTTTTCAAAAGGCAGATTAAAGCTACCAGCAAGAGGATTAACAGTAACAGAAAGGCAGCTGGAAGAAATCAAGGATCCAGTTTATCACATGCAGCAGCACATTTATTTTATTACTTTTCTTCAGGCCAACCTCAGCAGGGGATGTAGTGCCTAAAATCTAGCACTTGGTTGGCTAATTGGGTACCATGGCATGTAAGAGTTAATAGATTTTGCATAGCAACCACATGGAGAATATAGAAAACATTTGTAGCCACAAGAGAAGAATTTTTCTTCTCCAGACCTAAAAACTCAGAACCAAAAGTCTGGTCTGTCAGCCTTTTTCTTGTTTTGTATGCTCTTAAACAAATACATTTTCAAATGTGGATGCCTGATTTTTGGCAACTTAATCCCTACTTCAGCTCCTAAATGAACTAGTTTTATTTGCTATTCTTTTAGACTTTTTAACTCTTTTGTTGGAAATTAATTATCATTTTTACCATCTGCTGTGTAAGGGCACCTAGTCTCACTATACAGGCAATAAAATGCATTTGGTCCTGCCGTATTGCAGACCTCAGAACAGGAAGATGTGTTAAATCTTTTAAATGCTGAAGGAGAAATTTGTCTGTATACTCCTGTGTACATTGACCAAAACACTGGTCTCAGATCTTGCCAGATTAGCCTCTGATGCTTCACTTACTTAGAATTTCCTTCACTTACCTGCACCTCCTTGCTCAGTGTCCTCTTGGTTGATCCTACCCACTTTCTAGCCTCCCCATGGTAGCTGTCGTGCTTACCACAGAGAAGTTAAACAACCATTGATTATTTGACCAGTTCTAAAGAAAGTGTTAAAAATAGAGATGGACCTACCTGATCTCCCCAAATACAGCTCCTGCTCTTAGGGTAACCAGGACTTTTTTACCATCAGGTCCACCAAGGACTTGAACTTCACCCTGTTTGATGATGTACATCTCTCTGCCAATCTCTCCCTGGGCACAAAAACACATAAAGATCCCATGTTTTAGCAGCACAGTGGTTTTTTGTTAGAATAATCTGACAGACTCTTCTTTAAATATCTTTCCTCTTTCTCATAAACAGGTTTACTAGTATTACGGAGAAATAAATGTTTGAGCTACTTTTCCTAGCACTGAGCACAAGCACAAGGACTGACTTTGGCAGTTCCAATTGTGATTTGGGACAATATTTGAACAGGAGTAAGACCATCTAGGCCAGCTTGGAAAAAGAAGAGTAGATAATAATCAGGATTGTAGCAGTCATTTCCATCAGCTGTTCTCGTGGAAACTAAAGTACTGCAGAAGTGTATTTAATAACAGAGAAGTGCAAAAAAGCCCATGCTTTATGGTCTAAATTACTTCTAATCATCATTTATCTATTTTAAAAGGAAAATAAGAATAAACAATCATTCAAAACTTCATCAACTTTTATGTAATCACTGGATAGTTTAAGAGATTATTCATTTATTTATTATCCTCCACATGATCTACTAAGATTCAAAGGTGTGACATCAATATATATAACAAAAAGCAGGCAGACTGGAGCAATATAATGGACTTCATGAACATGATCATAAAAGTCCTCACAACATCTAAGTAAGGCAGGCAAATAACTATTTTTCCACTCGTGCAGCTGGAGTAACTGAGGCAAAGCAGCAATTTCATTTTAAAAGTGAAAAGGCAACAACAACAAAGCCGGGACTGAAAACATGGGGCGTACACTTGCTATCCCTTCACTTGCTCTTCCAAGCCTGCATGCAGGCCTCCTCGGTAAAGTACAATGAGGTCAAGATACATCCAAGGAGGACGTAGTTCCAACAGGGTTTTATTCCCTACTATGTGTTACAGCACTAATAGGATTACTATGGTTGTTGGCCACATAGTAGATCTATAAAAATGAGAGGCCTTTTAGCTCTGAATCAAGCTGGAATAAACTGATAACTCAATTTCCCATAATCCATCCTTGTTGAGAACTGCTTTGCATCTGGCTGTGGTATCAACACTTTGAATCTGTTACTGTCATTTATTTCTCTGTTGTGGCAGAGTTCCAGCCGCAGTCTAAGATCCTTCATGCTGTGCATTGTACAAGCAAACACACCAAACTACTCTTCTACCCTTTCTAGCCAACAGTAATTCTGGGATTGGTCTTTGAAAGGACATGCGTGATCCTTTGGTGCATTCACAAATGTTTAACTTCCTACACTGTAAAGTCAGTGGGACTACTCGGCAATCAGGAAGAGGATCCTATGCTTTACTTTTGGAGGGAGCAGGACCTTAGTGAACATGCTGGACCAGAACTGCTAAAGACAAGTTAAGGGGTTCTGATGGTCACTTCTGAGTGTGGTATGAACTGTGGGTTGCTTGCCAGAACAGTAACAGTACTGATGCTTCATCCGCCCCATGCTTTAATTACATCCTACACTGCCTATAAGTATGTTTACATGCCTTCTGAAAACAGACTTCAGCTCACTTGGTCAGAAGCTGAGCTATCTACCTGTTTTACTGTAAGGCCATGTTTGAGCCAAAATGGTAAGAGAAAAATAGACGTCTTTGCAAAGGGACAGTGTGACAGCATTCAGCTGGAAGTATGGAGACAGCTCAGAGCTGTGAGTGAAGGCAGAGCAAGATCAGATCCTGCTCTAAGGAGCAGTATGGGATGCAGTGTATTTTCTACATACTTGGATAATTCCACTTAAGAGTTTCTGAATGCACAAATGAAGCACATGCAGAGCATCATAGTTTGAGATCTGTAGGCTAGGTTTGTTTGTATATATTTATAAAAAAAATTAAGCTTGCTCCATTTTAAATATTAAAACTTCATGATGTATCATTAGATAAGCCTTATTTACATTAAATACTTTCCCATATTACTATAATCTTATGTTTGATAATGTAAGTAATAAAATCCATATAGTCTTGTTCTAGGTTGAAATTTGAGAGCACATTTGTTATTATTGCACAGAGTACCTTAATTACTTTTATGCTATCTAATTCACTCAGGATTAATTTTATTTAAAGGACACTGTTGACCAATATCTGAACTCTTTTTCTAAAACACATGCTATAATTATTATTTGACAGAGACAACAATGCTCACCTTTTTGCAGACAAAGTCACCAGGTAAATACACAATGGATTTCAACCTTAGCAGCATGTCATATATCATCTGGGTATCACACCCCTGTTAAAATAGTTAGAATTGATTGCTCTATTAATTCAGTAGCACAAGTGACTATCAGTGCTTACACTGGGCAGTAAAACCCCAAAATACATGAATGATCCAGGGATTCATAAGTGGAATGCAACCTCAAAACATCATAAGGATCAGCTTTTAGAGCAGAGAAAAGACTGAAAGAATTGTCATTTCAAATACTTCTTATAAAGTCCTCTTTAAGTTGAACATCTCTTAATTTTTTACAAAGTAAGCTTCTGTACATCTAAATTTGCTGTGGAAGCTCAGTTAGTGTTATGTTCAGGAATTTATGGGTCTTTTATGTGAATGTATTTTACTGATCCAGGGAAAAAAAACAGATCATGTCAAATGTTCCTATGAATCTATGAATTCCACGTCTTCAGCAAATGTGGCAGAAACTGTGCAGCTATGTTTATACTGAGATATCATGTGATTTCTTGCAATTATCCTAGCAAACAAATTAGTGTTAAGGTTACTGTATGTCAAGACTACTCCTTAAGTACTAAGACTACAATCTTAAGTAAATACCACATTTAAATTGTATCTCTGGAAATCTATCATGATAATAAAGAGAAAGCTCCTTTGCACAAAAAGTTACTAAAAAGTAGCATTCATTACATCAAAGTTGTGTTGCCAGAACACATAGCATTTGTGATCTCTCAGGCAGACCTAGGTGGTATACATTAAGGTGGACTGTGTTAAAAATTACATTCTTCTATGTCTGACTCTTGAGATTAGTTATACTCTGAAATCATTTACACTCTGACCATAACATCAGCTTTAGTATGTCGACATAACAGGACTGTGTTTTAATCTCATTTGTTTTTTTATAGTTTTTTTGACACAAAATTCAAAGGCAGGCACTTGGCTTTGTCCTGATATGTCTCCATTAACTGAGATATTTCTTACACCTATTTTGCCTTGCATATTAACGAACATGTTCTTAAGTGTTGCAAGATGGACAAAACAAGGTTTCTGTCTCAGGAATACCACACATTTCTGCATTCTCCTGTAAAACTACTTGCTTTGAATAAGTCAACTTTATTGACAATGGCAAAGTTCACATCAATTGCAATGGCTAATTGCATTTTGGTTGGCATCTGCTCCAGTAATTCTGATTCATCTGTAAAAGAAAAATAAAAGCAAACTCTGTTAGTTAGAAAATATAAAGGAAGAATAAAAGAATGTCCATATAAATGAGCATTGTACAGAAAAATAACTTAATGCAGCTATTCTAGCATTTATGAGTTCAAATGAGAAATCTGGTAATATACTTTTACTAAGATATTGTCTTTTAAGTTGCATATCTTGTCTAAAGGTATAACCAAAACATTATATAAATTAATAGAATCTGTGAAGTAGTAAGTGCCATATTGCTTTGGATTTTTTTTCTTTTCTAAACTAAGTTGAATACTCTCTTCTCACTTCTCTCATGTAATTCAGAAAAGGAGAAATGTGAATTTCACCCTGTATATGTATCTATACAACCACTCTCACTTGAAGTTGCTACATAACTGGAATTAGAAAGTCTTACCCAGCATTCCCTGAGAGTCCCATGTATATTCATACCAGGTTCGAACACGATTTTGGACCACTCTTGGAATAGAATAAGTGTTCATATAGGACACAGTGTTGTCCATACAGGAACGGTAATAGTTCTGTCCTGCTGTGGCTGCTCCAATTACATCTCTCATCTGCAAACATCAGTTGTTGTTACTACGCATTTTAACAAAAAATAGTCTTGATTTGAATATCGTGCACCAACATATAAAAAGAATAAAATACTTGTTTGCAAAATCACTGATTAATTATACATTCAGCTGCATGTTTTGAATAGGTCCTTCATCCGCTTTTTCAGAAGCGTTACAGATTTAATCTAATTGTGTTGGAAATTCTATATTTATGATTTTAAAGGGATCATTTGTGCGTTTTAACTTATTCTTCTGTCTCATATTTCTGGACATGGATGAAAAATGTAGATAATGCTTTTCTTAAAAATCCATAATAAAGCTACTCTGCATTTGGTGTGCAATGCAAGTCAGAAGTGAAGCAAACTGGGCTAAATTTCTCTAACAACATCAGCTGGCACCACTAGAATTAAGAACCTACCGCTGTTTAAGTAGCTAAGAGAATCTAAATCAATCCTAAAAATGCACTTTGAACTGAAAGGTGACCTTGAAGTTTTTAGTGCAGGAACATCATTTAACATTCCAACACAAATGTAATTTAGTTTTTAGAAAGTGCATGAGTTAATGGTCATAGATATTCCTTCTTCAAAACATAACTATATAGACATTTTTTTAGTAGGATGGATTTATGTTGCAGTGGCCAAGGATTAGTGTGCCAGTGGGCTGAATTCTGCTCTTTATTACAGAGATACAATTGATTGCAATAGGAATAACAATTTTTAGGCAAGTGTGCTAAACCAGGAATAACTTGGTAATTTTAAGAGCTCTTTGTAAACAGAAATTATAAAAAAAATGCAGTGAATATGTTCATGTGTTAAGATTTAAGGATTGAGTCTGCAAATTAGTGTACTAGTTACAAAACCCAATCTGCAGAATCTTCTTGGGGAATGGTGCTTTCATTGACAGTTATATCAATTTAGGAAAAAAATATAAATATCCAAACTCCAAAGTTTAATCCAATACACTTGAATTCAATAGTTTTCCAGAAGAAATATCTTATATGCACTACTTTGTTTTATTCTTGGTAATTCTTGTTTGTGGATGAATTTTAAATCCTACAGGCAAGAGTCTGTTTCATGATGGTTATCTTTTCTTGCACTTCTAAATGACAAGGGACATATGCAATTTTTAACTGTTTGATTGAACTTTTTGAATCCTGTATTCAAAATAAAAATTACATTTCAGTTTTCATTTTTATTTTTTTATAATAATTCTTCCAATAACAGACATGTACAAATCAAAAAGTCTGGAATGATTTCTACAGGAATCTGATAAATCACAGTATCACGTAGGAACCATGGCATTTCTTTTTCTATAGGCAAGGCATTTTAAAACCATGCGTTTGTTTTTCTGTAGGGAAGGTATTTTAAAACCTATGGATCTAAAGCCCAAGTTTAGTAGTTATAAGCCAGAAATAGTTCAGTTTTATTCATTTGGAAATATAACTGATGTGCTGTGGTTTGCTGTGCTATGGGCTTTTTTTTTTCCCTCCTGCCAAATAAGAACCAAAAGAAATAAAAAACAGTTAATTTTCAGGTTAGCAAATATATTGTAATTTATGGAAGAGAGCAGAATTCTAGTTTGACAAAAATCATAGGATTTGCATTAACAGTATTCTATTGGCAGTAGTATCAAGCATGACTTATTCAATAATTTGTACATATTAATACATACCTATAATTATATTTTTTCTATCAGATTTAACAGTATAATGTGAATGTCAAGGAACTGGCTCCTTGGCTGTGAGGAAGAAAAAAGGAATTATGCATAGTTTCAAAAATCATCCATGTCCTGCAGAGTCTTGGCTTTAAATCAGCTTGTGTGCAAAAGGACTACAAGACTGGGAACTGATTAAACACATGTATTTGTCAGAAGAATAAGTACAGATGACAGTTAAATAGAAGGACATTCAGATGGAGGCTAAACTTTTTCCTAGAACAGAACTCTATTAAATTGAATATATTATCACTACCACTACATTACAGTAATTTGAATGTATCTAGTTATTGATTTTTTTATGTACCTGACCAATTAAGCTGGAGAAGACAAAGACACCCAAGAAAAAATTCAGCAGTTGAAAAACTATTTCAAACAGAGTTTGTGGTTCTGGAAGGCCACCGATGGTGATTAAAGTACGAACTGCCCAGTAGTAACACCTCAGATACCTGTGGATACAGAGAGCATTTTTGTTACTGACTGTTGGTATTTATGTGTTTGAAGTTAAGGATATACGTACCTGAGTTGGGCCTTTTAGTGATACTTTTCAGTCCAAAAGACCTTCAGCACTTTTTATGAAGGGTTATGATTTTACTAATGATACAGTTGTGTAAATCATATTGAGCTGAATGTTCTCACTGACAGCAAAATAAGAATACATGGGGAATGCAGCGGTCACTTACTGTTCTCCAATAACTATGCAGCATTACAGAAGACTTCTGTAACAAATTGCCAAGGTGGACATTACTGTGTTAGAATGCTACCAGTGAAGGTGCCATGATGTTAAAAGCAGTGTAAAAATGTTAGAGACTTCCCAGAGTTTATCTGTAGCACACTAGATGCACACACACCTGAAGGTCTCTTCCATGGCTTCACTTGATAACACCAGTGTGAAGCCTTTTGGTGGGTACAACAAATGCAGTGTTGATCTTCTTGTGTCCATTCATTTTCCTAGTCCTTTAACCATGTTAGGTCTTCCTTCCGCTCTGCTTCTTAAGCACCCTTCATTGGCTCTGCCTCCTGGGTTATGTCAAACAGAAGTTATATGTTTCCACAAGCTGTGTGTTAATCCAGCTTCTCCAAACCAATTCACTTATTCAGCACTGCAGGGTTGACTCCTGCATTAACTTCTAGTGGCTGGCCTCCACTACGCCTTCTGTCACCTTTAACAAACACATTCTTGCCTTCTTCACTACTTTCCCTCATGCCTGGGAAGAGCTTTCCCTCAATGGCTACAAAACCACCTTGTTAGCACCCTTCAAGACTTTTCTCAGAACTCTCTTGGTGTAGAAACCAAACATAGCAGTGAGCAATGGGCAGTCACTAAGACACTGCTTCAATGTATGGCTCATATTGACTCCTTCACTGTATCCATCTGCTGTCTGTCACTTCTCATACCTGAAGTGTGAGCTCTTTGGACAAAGATTTTTTTGTTCTGTTTGTACAGCACTCTTTGTACAGCTTTGTCCATGACAGAGCCTGTTGCATTCAAGCAGTGTATTTCTATTAGTATGATAACACAAGTTTATGAAACAGCAAAGGACCTGGACAGAATTTTTTTTATTATTATTATTTTGTGAGGATAGTCACACTAACTCTCTTTTTTTTTTTAGTACATATATATATATATGTAAAGTGCCTTGGCATATCTAAGATTCTTTTTTAAGAATCTGTTTATCTAAGATTTATGTTTCTAGAACATGGCACCACTAGTACTGCAGTATTCCCCCTACTGTGCAGTGGGGATTAATTAGCTCAAATCATTGCTGTGAATGTGCCATCATTTCCTTCTTTTCTGGGCCTACAAGTAATTTGTTTAGGAATATTTTTAAAAGTCTCCTATTAATTAGAATTTGACTTCCTAAGTCTCTGTACAATCAGACTTCAGCTTCACTAATGATTAGGAATGGAGGTTCATTTTCCTTAATTGTACAATGAGATTTTCTATTATTTCATCTATGACTATTGCTTCTGAAACAATGAAGATTACTTCTATTTGTTGAATTTCATTGAGTTTGAAATTAAGAAAAAAACACACACAAGAAATATTTTCGGAGATGCTTGTTTTGAAATAGATAGTTTTGCATGCATCTTCTCATGCCTACCCTGAATCCGAGGCCACCTGATCTGCTTGCAGACTTCAGGTGTACATTTTAATTTGGTGGCCTCCACTTTTAAATTCCTCTCTTATTAAGGTACGAACTCCACTCCTATTAATAAATGGTCCATGTAACAATACAATTGGAGGGTCAGTTTGTGTAAATATGAGAAAATAAACTCACAATAACAATCAATTCCAATGAGGGGTTTTATTTAAATCACTCGAAAGTGTTTCCAAGTCTTTCACCTAAAATGTCAGGCTTTACAAAGCAATTGATTTTTGCTTTTCATTACGAAGTCACTTTTTTCTTGGTTGTAGATTAATGAAATGCATCAACAATTATCACTTTTACCATAGTTTTCTAGTTTTAGATTTTAACAGCCAGAACTGGCTGTTTTCATTCAGAGATCTGCCATCATATAATTTTTCCTTGTTAGGGGTGCAAAATGAACAGCTGGATTAGACCACTATAATGTTTTCACTTGGGTTAAAAAAAAAAAATCATCACCTATGGATGCTTCCAGCAAAGTATGCATAAGTGGCAGCTTTCTCTTAGACTTCTGTAGCATAAATAAGTAGTAAGAAAAAGCCTCAGATCTGTTTTGGAAAAATTGCAGATTTAAGCATAAAATGATGTCTCTAGCTTGTCTGAGGGGAATTATCATATAAAGCATATTGATATCATATTCCTTTGCCATAACTGAGAATGCTGTAGTGCGTGAAACATGTCTAATTTATTAATATAAAAGTAAAGAAATTAATATTACTCTGTGCTAGTTACTATAGGAAACAAAAGTAATTAACCAACTCCCTCACCCCCAATGGCCTTGGGTGCCAAGCTTGCTAAGTCCACCATGATAGGCAATATAATCTTCATTCTGGGAATGTCTACAAAGAATGAAAGCAGCTCCTCAAAGAAATTTAGGGGTCACATTCTTCTTTGCAGTGTTGTATATGCAAAATATGAGATATCTTTTCCAGATCTGCCCACCCCTTTCTGAACTTGTTAATACAGTATATTCTTCTGCAATTTTTCTTCAAAAGAAACTTTCTACTGGCAGTCACATGATATTCACTATCTCTTAGGCACAGTTTTTATATTTTCTCCATTTACACATTTTGTTGTTTTTATTTTAATCTGAAATGAAAGTTACACAGTTGAAATATAAAGCAGCTTTTTCCCTAAGAAGGGGAAAAATCAGATTGTAAATTTTGTTTAAGGAAAGCCAGAAAAAACAGATTCCTATTTCAACAGTATTAGCAGCTCTGCTTCCTACTAGCTAGTGTCTGGAAACAATCATTGCTTACCATACAGCTTACTACCCTGCTATAAAATTACTGTTGAAGCAAATAACATGAGACAAGAAAAGGATTTTCCCTCCGCACAACATAGAATATATGTTTATCCTTCAGGCAATCAAACTACTAGATTTTTCCCTAAAATAAGTCCTAGGTATGAAAACATTCAGAAACACTGCAAATAAGATAACTTGTAATATTATGTCAATAGAAATATCTTTGTCATAAAAGTCCATTTCAGAATATGCTAAAATTCTTACATGGTCTTGGTTAATACAGGTAAATCAAATCTTTGTGCATGTGGCTATCAGATTTTAAGGTGGTATTCACACATTCATTTCAGCCCAGGGAAGCATTATTTCAGGGCTGTCACATTTGACTCCTCTCAGATTACAGCCAGGATGGGTTTAGGCAGAGTAAAGAAGTGGCCTTTATAAACTGGTACTCTAATGACCTTCTTAGTACCTCTTTTTCTTGAGTGACTTATTCATCGGGTGGCTGTGGGTATGATGATCTTAGGCAGAATGGTGTAAATTACAAAGCTTTTATCTAAAAAGTACGGCTGCAAGTAGCAGGTCTGAAAGCATCAGGTCTGACATACTTATGAGTTGGGCTGTGCATTCACAGATTGTCTGGAGGCAGATAACTGCCTTTGTATAGCAAGCACTGCAAGTATGACACATCAGACCTATTGCAAGTGCAATGTATAGCTGATACCCACGAGACACCTTTTAAGATATGCCAGTCTTACTGGGTGTTGGGCAATGCATACCAAAGAAGTAGAGTTGTTCTACACATGCACAGTGACCATTTTCTGGGACTTCCAGATATCTGCTAAGTCTGTGCCCCGAGCAGAAAGGCAGCAAGCTACAGAGAAACATAATCAGGATGCAAATAGACGTCTTGATTAATAAATATGCCAGTGAATTTTGCAGACTACTTGTGGATGACTTGCAAGCAGCAGAAGAATTACACCATGAGCAAAGTCGAATGATTTGTTTTGTCTAAATTTAATGCTGACCTGTGGGGTTTGCATGGGAATTTCAGCTCCTGAGTTTTAGTTCCCTTATGGGCAGTGATGAAAGAGACAGATACTTCCATGGGACAATTCAGGACAACACTACATTCCTGCCTTGAATCCCTTTCTAGAGGATTTGTCCATTTTCCTGAGGAATTAGGGAGACGGATCTCTTAGTAGTTAAATTAGATTGTAAATATACACATACAGTTCAAATTGTTCACTTAGCTATAATAAAAAGACCTTTTCAATATCCTGCTGCCGTGGTTACATAGGCTCTACACTATGGTGTTGCATCAGGGATGCTATCCTTCTGCATTAGGGGACACTGAGGTCTCTCTGACTAATACAAGCTCATGAGTGCAGTTTTAATGCTGGAACATCTTGTGTGGCTAATTTGGGTGTGTTGCAGAGGGGTAAAGTTGACTGCCTTTTGCACCTCAGGTCAAAGGCATTTTGATTGAAGGCTGCCACGCAAAAGACCTCAAATCTTCCTGGACTGGCACTAACACTTCAGAGTCTGGACATGATGTGGAAAAGAATACAGCTAGCAGAAATTTGCAAAAAGAGCTACTTTGATAATTTTGTTTGTGGTTTGAGTGCTTTGTACAGCTGTTCATTAAAAATTGAAGATCAGCAGTTAGTATGTCTGCTCAGGAACATATATGTAATCAAATTGATAAGGGAAACTGTTGTCTGTGTATTCTTTTAGCCTGGAAAGTAAAAAAAAAAAAGATCCTAGAAGTGCTTACATTTTTAAGAACTGGTTTTGGCCATAACTAGCAACATTTTATGGACACAGCAGGGATTCTACATAAAACATTCATGCCACTAAATCAGTGCCAGATCATTTGCTTTGGGTCAGTGTAATCTGAGACCACTAGAATTTTGATTTATTTGTCAAACTGCTTACTGTCATTTTTTTTTTAATTAGCTAAGAAGTTATGTTTGTCTTATCTTCTTTCTGAATGTGTTCCCTTTCTGTGTGAAACCAATGGCATATTTTGCTTCAAATATTGGCAACTCTGACTGCCATGTGAAAGGAAATTACATCTGCACTGCTGTGCCATAATATATACTGCAGTTCTGGTCACTTTTTCTGACAGATTTTTCCCAGATTGTTCTTAATTCCTGCTTTCCAAAGAAATGAATATAACTAGAAGTATCTTGTCCGATATGTTTAAGTTCACATGGCATCTCCAATAATAACTAATGTTCACACAATGCCTCTCTGTTAAAAATCCCCAAATATTTGACACTCAGATAATATGTCATGCCTGATTCTCTAAGGCAATGACTATCCTGTACAGAAGGCATTTGCTGTTAGTGAGATACTGAGCTATACTTCATGAAATGCAGCTCAGCATGGGATACTCTTTGGGGATCCATGTACATGGGACCATATAATCCAGCATGAGTTAGAAGCAGGCAAAAGAATGAAGTCATACATTCACCAACCAATGTCAAGATGAGGTAGATAAATGGCTTAATGAAGCTTACATGTATATATTCTAATATGCATTTTATTTCAGCTTCTCAGTTTAATGTAGACCTTGAATTATCAGTTTATTATCATTGTTTATAAAAAATTCTGCCCTAAATCCCATTTAAGTTCAGTGTGACATCATTTGAGAAGTGTTTTTGTCTCCTTGTGGAAAAGGTATCACAAAATATTAAAATACCTGACCATTGCCTCTAGGCACAACCGCATTTTCTGTGATCAAACTAGCAAATAATTTCTACCAATTGTTTCCCTGAGTGAAATGTAAAATATTCTTGTCTGTGAAAAACAAGAAGACTTTCTTGCCTGTTCTCTAGGCTGTTCTGAAGAAGAATTAAAAGATTGAAGACTGAGTAAGCTCTCTACTTTCAGAGTGTTCAAGTTGCTCAGTCTTAGTTACCTTATTTTTTAATTATGAGGCAAGTTTTCCCAAGAATGACATTAACAAAAATAGTTATAATGGAAATTCTTTCTGCATTTTTCTTGTCAGATTTCTGGAAGCCTTGATCCTGCAAATAAATACCTGTGTATAATTTCACTTACATAAGCGGTCTCACCTGAGCTCTATGACTTGCTTGCACGTGTCTGACTGCAGTTCTCAAGCTGTGTATTTTAGCGGTGTGTGGAAACCAGCCATGTCATTTTTTTTGAAAGAGAACCCTAACTATAAAAAATCAATGCTGCTTTACACAGTGTGTTTTACTCTCAAAGGCTATTTTCTTACCCTTCAGGATAGTGACTTCACACCAAACTCATGAAGTCTGAAAAAATTACAAGCAAGAGAAGCATGTCTCCAAGAGAAACATGAAATGTTGTTTAAAGGGTGATTTATGACAGCAGTAATATATTATATGCTGTTTTGCAAAGAATGTAATTAATGAACAAATTGAGCTTCTGTGACTTTAACTATATTATGGCCTTTGAAAGAAATGAACATTTATACATCTGAACCTACAAGATATGTTTTTATATAACTACACACAAAATATATTATGACTTTGCTATTTTCTCTTGCTTCATCTCCATCATCTTAATGTATGTCCGTTACTTGGCACCCAGCCTAGTACTGTCACAAGGAGTTTATGGAAAAGTGTGCCAACATCTAGTCCTTCCCACTAGAGACACTCTGCCACATGTTTAAGCATGACCTTCTCAAAAGATCAGAGAAAGTGGGTGGAATTTTTTTCAGACCAATCACCATGGTGTTTAGAGGGACTAAAATGTTGCATTTTAATGACACAATGCTGTGTGGCAGAAAAAAAATCTATGCCTCTGATTCCTTTGAGGGATTGTTCTGCAATCTTTCTAACAGTTCCCATGTGCATATGCAATCAGTAAGTTTAATTTATGACCCTTGTTGCTTTCTAAATGTTTAATTAAGTTAGTGCTTAGCACTGACTCATAAACCTATAAAAGCAGTAAACTGATTATTCACTGCACCTGCCCTCCTAATATGTGTTAGTAATGAAAGCTGCTAATCAGCAGCCATGGTGCTAAAAGTTTTCTATCAAAGCACTTGTAAAGTAAGGGCATGCCTTGCAAGCAAAAGCATGGGAGAAGGAGGGGGATGCAGGAAGGAGCAAAATCAACAAAAATCTCTTGCAAGAGAAAAGAACTTACATGTTTCCTTTGCCATCGTACACCCATCTAGTGCTGCCAAGTCCTTCATAGTCTGAAGCCCAATAATACAGGCATGCATTAATGTGCAAGATAAACAGCAAGTATCCAGTTGTTCGAATGACCCTATAAAAGTCAACAGATTCTTTTAAAACAACTTACATTTTTCCTTCCTTTTAATATGGAACCCACTGCTTTTTTGGATCAACAGTGTTTATGTTAAGCATCCACTAAGTAGTTCCCCACCTGTATTGATTCTGTGAAAAAAAGAGCTGGCAGTTACCTGTCCCTCATGTTTGTCCAAGGTCAAATAAATATCTTTCCTAGAATATTTGACACAGGGTAATTTCTAAATTATCATTCCCTGAGTACTTCATAATCCTCTGCATTAACTGGCTGTGAATATTTACAGACATTTGAAGCTATATTAATGAGGCTAGAGGGTACAAATTAATGTGTTTGCCAAACTCTGTTCAAGATAGGCTCTAAACTTGTGAACCAAAGCCAAGAAATGTCTGAGGTCAGAAATGAACTGTTTTACAAGAGCTGTGCTAGGAAGTCTGCAGTAGATCCGCTAAATAGTATGATTTACTGGCTACAGCAGGAGTTATATCATTCCTAATCCCAGTTCTTATGCTTATGGCCAGTTCTTTGAAGAACATCAACGATGAACTACTTAAGCACCAAGCAGCTTTCTGTTTAATACAATAATGATCTCATTGTATATCCTCTGTTCAGTGCATGAGGATCAAAAGGAAGATCTCCTGGATTTAGCTCTCCATTCAAATATTCATACAGGCAAGGGATAAATAAGCAGGAAAAGTACAGGACTTGCCTAAACACAGGAAGTCTGGTACATAATGAGTTCATCTGCTACAGCTAGAATTCAGTGCAGTTTGCAGTGCATAGTAACTGAGTGCATGGTTTTATGAAAATTTTATAAGATCTAACTAAGTTAGGTCTATAAACTAAGTTAATGGGAGATAACATCTCTGTGGTTGCTTCTGTATTATGCATTCCCTTGCTGTTTCTTGAGGTGCCATTGCATGCCCTCCTTTGCCTCTCCATGCCATTGAGCAATTTATCTACAGGTACTCTTCGTCTTTAGGATGTTGACAAATGAATGCCACTTCTCTCTTTAAATGTTGGTGTTCTTCCAGGACAGCTCTGTTTAGGATTGTAAGCTTTTACGAACAGCAGATAGCGGATGCGATCTAGTAATATTACAATATTGACCATGCTGGGTCTTGTGCACAAGTTTGAATCCATGCAGCTGGACTCCTGAGGTCAGAGTAAAGGTTTTGAAAGCCTTTGCTACAATATGTATTATATTTCTCTAGGCACATGTTGAATCTACCACAATGGGTAGGTAAGATGTAGTAACTTTTGCTAGCTGTATTTCAAAACTAATGAGTTTGAGAAGAGAGTCCAACCAGGCACATATACTTGATGTGTAGAAGTTTAGTTTGACATTATCCAGTTAATTGGTGCCTTATCGCTCAGACGGTGACCATACCAAGATCTCAGATCAAAACAACATTGCTACATTCAAATAAAATGCAGTGGTTTGCACAAACAGCCCATCTTTTTTTTTTTTGTATTTTTCAGCTCCCATCTGTACTCTTCTGTATAACTACCTCTCTTCTCCACTTGTTCTTTTTCTTTCCTTACCCTAATGCCTTCTGGTAAGACAATTAAAAGATCTTTGCCATATAAATGTTTTTACTAATGAGTACCTCAAAAACTTGGAGTCAGTGTTTTCTGAAGTATGTTTTAAAGCATTGTATCAGGGCATGGCATGGCATATTTAATAGGTGTTTTGCAAATACAAAATATAACATTTTGGTAGGACAGTATGCAGACATTTTTTTTTGACCACAAACCTTAGCAATGCACTGATGGGAAAGCCTATAGATAATAAAGTGTTAATACTGTTAACGCCATATATGCTGAGCAATATTGAAATCCATGTTCCCTACCATTGTTTTTCTGCACATCTTCAAAGAGATTTAAAATTACATTTCAGTTATGAAGAGTGCTCTATTTCACAAGTTTCAGGTTTCTGGCCTCTTAAGGGTATGAGGTAGAAAATGGATTCACTTTGTAATATTTACATTCTGCAATTTACATTCTGCATTTTACATTCTGCAAGTGATTAAATACTGGAAAATGCAAGTGGGCCTGTGACCAGGAAGAAAAGACACAAGCAGCAACAGACAGTTGTGGCACTCAACAAATACCATGCTACAATACTGTCTAACAAGGCAGAACAGCTTTGCAGAGTAGCTGGCTCTGTCTTTTCAGCTACTTCGTACATTTTACATGACCAGTGAGATCTTACTCTGTGTGTCAGCCTTTCCAAACCAGCACCTTCCCTGTTTTTTGACACACAAATCAACATCACATTTTTCAAAGTTAGGCTAGTTTGAAGATACACGCATCCCATTCTCAACTTGCCTTTTAAACAATCATTTCCCATCCCATACTTTTATATAGTGTGAAACTGTCCATTGCAAAACTGCTTATTTGGGTGAAAATAGGTTTGCTAATTTGTTTCCATTTCCTTGAAATCCATTTACACACAACATTGTTGTTACATACGAACTAATTACTTGATTCCAAACCATCTATATTAAAAATCTGTATCTCCCAGGACTTACTACAAATATTATAGGAGATACAGAAGAGTCGTTGAATTATGACTCCAAAGCAAAGGACATAATATGGGAAATAATTAATTTTAAAAGTTCTCAACATTAGAAAAAATTAAAAAGTACAAGCAAGGCAGATGAAAACCCATTCTTTTTAATGAGATTAGAAATTGGAGAAGATAGGGAGGCAGTGATTCAGCAACTGACAAGAAATTTCTTCATCTTGTGGAAATTCAGAAAAGCCTCTCTTGTACCAACAAGAATTTAAAAAAAGAAAGAAAAAAACCCCCCAACAACCAAACAACAAAAGACTCTTCAATAAGTGAAAGGAGAGGGCAACATGAGAATAAGCTTTGTGGAGGTTACCATCTTCAAAAATACTTTAGTAGAATTTTCAAACTTCTAAGTTTTGTTTCATTTCACAGGTACACAAAAATATGAAAGAGATGATGTTTCAACCTCTTCAAATTTAACTAGTCTCTAAATCTCATAAAATATCACATTTGCAATATATAAATACCAAGTCTATCATTTAAGTGCAATAATGTCTGAAATAGAATAAGACAGTAAACAGCAGATTCTTATTTCTACAGCAGCAGCACACAAGAACAATACATGCCCCAAAACTGGGACAGGGAAAAAAAATCTGTTGGCGTAGGAGTTGCACAAGATAAACTAGGGCTGATGACATTGACAGTAGATGACAATAATGGTGACACAGTAGATACGTTCATTGTCTCTTAGCAGCATCACTGACAGCTGAGGGGCCTATGAAACTTGCCATAACCATGTCCATGGACTGCTTGAGTTGGAATAAAAATTCTTCTTGTCAATGCAGAAGGTGAGAACATAGTGCAGCAGACAACAGTCATAATCACTATTTGAGATCTGTGCTGAGTTGATTCTCATTCCAAGTTTAGTCAATGCAGTGGATGATCAAGTTTCTGTATATGCCAGGTTCATGGTGAGAGCATATTTGAAGAAAAATATTGACACAGGCTCAAGCTCTTAAGTTTTATTAAGTACAAATAAACAGCTACTGAGGATTTGGCACTGCTATTAGCAACCTGAAGGAACTGTTCTTTAGCTCTTTCACTGAAGAAACTTCCTTCTGATACTTCTGATCAGTTAAATTTTGGCAGGAGCCTATGTTTGGTGCACATTTTGCCTGAACCAGGCCAGCTGAACTGAGCTAGATTTCATTTTACAGTTGTTATTTTAATGATGACAGTAAAGACAGATATTTTAAAAATCTTAAATTGAACAATAAAAGATGTATCATATTCCATCCAATGCTTCACTGACAACTCATGAAATCAAATGAAATGCATTCTGTGCCAAGCTTTGCATGCTACAAGAGTTTAATAAGCACATACCTGTAGATGTATGCTTTGTCCAGAATAGCTTCCAAACGATCATTAAACTCAAAGAATGTGTTATGCTGAATGGGAAACAAATGAAAGTAACTCAATCACTATTCTTCATTACACGTCTTATTATAATAGTACTGACATTAGTTCATATACACATTTTGAAAATAATGGATTTTTCAGTAGTCTGACTTTCTTTAAACATTTAACTAAATAGTGAACTGCAAAACCAAAGATGAAAATTGAGTTAAACATTGTTTTGGGTGTTAAGTGTCCCATTAATCTGATTATAGAAATAACCTTGCTGTTTAGGTCAGACTGCTTCAGATGAATGACTTCTATTTCCTCAAACAAATATAATTGCTTGGGCAACTTTATCAGAGAGAATTACACACATAAAAATCCCTTTTTTCTCTTTCTGAAATTCCAATAATTCTCCAGTAACTCATCATATGTATCAACAACCACATACTAGATGATACCATGTAGTATCAACTGCTGCTATATCGAATTCTTCCTGTTATTTGTAGTTTAGCTTTCATGATAGCCCTTAATATTCACATGTAGCTTTTTTCTTTGTTTTTATTCAGTACACATCTGTTTGCCTTATATGAGGTACTATTTAACTTTTCATTCTTTCATATTGTTTTGGTTCTGATTTATGGAATTTTGAAGTTTTGTTGAAAACTGAAGAGTACCCTGATTTTATTCTCAGAGTTCTTGTGTCTCCCTCCAATTTTAAATGAAAGCCAATTCTTTGTCAACATACTGATTATGTGAAGGGGAATGTATTTAGTTGCAGAGTGACCTACTAGATACTGTGAAATGCAGGGAGAGGGTTGCTGTCTAATCCCTTCTCAGACCCTTCATTGCACAGCTCCAGATGTCTTTGGACTCAATAACAAAAGTGGATTTGTGCTTGTTAAGTATGCTGTGTATAGTTTATGTTGTCCTTAAAATTCCCTCCTTTGCTCCTAAACACCTGAAATTACTAACAGAAGGGGAAAATACATTAACTAGTGATCTTAAATTAATTTTTCTGATCTTTGAAAACCAAACAGGTAATTTAAGATTAATCTAATTTAAATAATGGAAACAAACCAGCCTTAGTGACAGAATACCTTTTGAAAGTAGGAAATAATAAAGTCAGAAGAAAGCTTCATTTGGCTAGACTATAACTTGTGTTTTTTGTTGGTTTATTTTCTGATGTTGTAGCTTATCCTGAAGGTATTTTCCAATTTCTAAATTTCATATTCCTAAATATTATAAACAACTTTCAATTGGGTTGTAAAAACATTTCTGTGTGGTTAGCCATCCATCACTAACACAGATCTTACCTTTAGCATCCTATTTGCTCTAAATGCTGGGTTAAATCCAAAGAAGAAGTATAAAATGTCAAACGGCAATACTGATACCACATCGAGCTGTTGAAGAGCAGAGAGGTCAATTTAAACTTCACAATAATCATAATGCATTTACTTGCTGTCAAAAACCTACTTAGATTGGATCGTGATTGAGTGTAATATTTGAACAGTCAGCATGCTAAGCCTGTAACTTCCCAAGTACTGACAGGCAAGATTATCTCTTTGAAAAAACACCAACAGCTTTGCTCTGCCCTGCTTTTAAGTCCCCCATGCCTGAGATTTTAATCTGTTTCATGGGGATTATTAACAGTATCTCAGATATTTGGTTGCTAATAGATTCTGTTATTTCGATTACAGTTCTGACGAGAATAAAATGGTAGGCATGTGGCTGGTGAGTGGAGGTGGGGAGAGAAATCCACAAGCCCTTCTTAGAAGTCCTACAGCTTTAAAACCAGACTGCCTAAAGCAACCTGGGGGAGCACAATGAATTAGACTCCTTGCTTGCAACCTCCAGAAGCCATGTGTTCCAAACAACAGGTTCATCATAGGATGGTAAGTCTGGTTGTTGGGGTTTTTTTTAATAGATATTGTCTTTTGTTACATTTGGGTGCTTCTTCTTCCCATATCAGTAAGATTTTCAACATCTCCCTGCAGTCCATCAACTGTGTGATTACTCTTCTTATCTGCCTACTTTATTCTTCCCAAGAATTCTGTGAAGGGAAGGAAAGCTGTGGCAAACTTGGCTTTGCCTTTTTAAAGATCCTGTGATGCCTTGCTCTCTTGCTGATATCATTTGGGAACAAAAGAGGGATGTGGAACTGTAGGCTTCATCTCACTGTAATAAAAAATGCCTTTGCTCTGAAAGATGCAACTCATGTTGGCAGCAACTAGCATGCAGCACTGACCTTTTATTCCATGCAAGTAAGATGCAGTTAATAACCAAACTATGTTAAAAAAGCAAAGCAAACCAAAAAATTGATTGAGGACAAACAGCCTTTTATGGCTTCTCTACCTCTCTTAGGCACATGTCTAAGAGGAGGCAAAATTTAGTCAGAAGTGCTTTAATATCAGTAACTGTTAATTAGTACTTAATCATATGACAAATTCCCAGATTATATCTATATCTTGCATGTGGTGAGAACACTCAACTCTCATTAGTTTCTGCAGAAATCAAGAGCACTAAACATACTGCAAGTGTGGACTTAAAATAAAAACATACATATTGTCTTAGTTCTCTTGCTGTAGGTTTGACTCTGTCCTACTCACTTACCTGTACAGCGTATATCCTGTACTTTTGGATAGCTTAACCTCAAGTATATAAGTAGTAATACCACAGTCACTGACACAAATTTAACTCTAAAACAAGGCAGGTGCAAAAGTATTTACAGAAGAGGAGGGGGCAATAAGTGACATTTCAGAGATGTGGGCTCAATGTCACAGAAGTGTATGTGTATCAGAAATTCAATAGACTACCTATCCTCTGTTGGCAAAAACAATATTTAGGAACAAAATGACCAATTTTGCTAAATCAAATGCATCTTTGTTTTTACAAAGTGCAAGGAGCATCAAAAATCTAATTTTTTGTTTACTTGTGTGAGTGATGACCTATTCAGTACCATGAGGTATTTCATAAGAGTTCACCGAATAGGATTATCATCTAACTTAAAGACTTTTTGTTTAATGAATCTCTGGCAAACCATGCTATTGTCTTGCAGTGTGTGCAGGGATGACCTCACACAAATAAATCAAAACAGAGAATTGTATTAATTCAATTTTATTAATTTATTATTATTCAGTATTAATATTTATAATGGCATTTATAATTATTCTGTTTTACAATTAAACACTGTTTATGAAGATGGCAGTCTTCAGCTGGTGCGCACTGACATGCCATCAAGCCAATGCTTTCTGGTGATGTTCTTAAACCAAGAGTGACTTTCACTGAATGAAAAAAATTCTGTGAAATCCTACAGCCAGACAGTAACATAGGGTCTGCTTACCCGAAACTTCATAGAGTTGTGGTAGAATTTCTTCATTTCCACTCTGTCTGACTACAGTGATAACAAAAGGAGAAAAAGGCATAGTCAAGAACAGAATGTCAAGAGTAAGCTTCTGGTACTCAATAATAATTCACTTCTGATAGTAGGGATGATGACAGTTATATTAATGATGGTCTAAGAATATGAATGGAGAAAGATCTGTAGGAAGAAGAAGTACTTTTATTAGACCAGTTTACATTAGACCACATTTTATTAGACCTACCTGAAAAAATCAAGTTTGAGGTTTGTCCGATTTTTTCCAAGTCTGGCTGTTGGTCTAGCAAAGTACATTACATTTTTCCCACAAATCTTCCTTCTCAAGACATCTGTACCAGTTGGTGCTTGACCCCAACCCCTTCAATTTCAGGGACAAAAACTCCATTTGACTTCAGTGGTTCCAAGAAAAATGCAAAGAACATTTCTGATGGTGCTGTATAAAATTAGCTCTTTGAAAGCTAGTATTAACATGCTAGCATTATTAGCATTATAATAATCAACATTACATTGATTAGTAATGATTAGCTGTTTATTTTTAAATTGCTCTCCATGAGAACTGATGCTAATACCTTAATAGGAAAGGGTAATCACAAGTATCTAAAGAAATGTCTGTTACTATACTTTCTGTATTTATACCAGGGACACTTTAAAAATAGCTTTAAAATCTTAAGGATATTTCCAGCCAACTTTTCACTATTATCCATTTAAATATTAAACTAAATGCAGGAGATCAGGCAGTAGATGATCTCTTCATGGACTAAAATCTATGAATTGTACAAACAGCTTCAAGGGAAATACAAGGTAAGCTTCCTACGTTAGAGTTTTAACCTTGTTCATAAAACATGAGTTTTGTAGGATTTAGGTAAGATTGCCAGTTACTGAATGTCTTGGCATGGAAAAATACATTATACTGCACTGCATTTAATGTCTATCTAAATATATTTGCACAGTTTTATCTGAGATTCCTCTGTAAAGGTATCAGTATTATCTTGTATGCACAATGTGTACAATTTTATGTAAAAGCACTGAACTAAAGCTAGTTCCAAATTGCATTCGAAGACATATAATTTTGAATTTTCTGTCTGTTGGGCACAGTAGTGTCACGGAAGCTACCTAAACTCATTTTTTTCCTCATTAGGCTTTCTTCTATAAGAAGTTACAGAATCAAAAGCAGGGAAGATTTTAAAGAAAAGTAAATGTTCTAGATGCCCTTTAGATATGTTAAGGGCAAACTTTTACCTTTTTTCAGATGCTTTCATAGAGTTTTATTTTACATTTTTCTATAAAAAGGTAACACAAAAATAGTAGCAAGAAGCAAAATTGAATGTACCTATTTTCCCAAAATAAAATCTCTCAAATAAATTATTTTTAAAGCATCCCTAAATTACAGGGATTTGCTCTGATTTTGCCCCCCCCCAATCTCACAATCTGTAACAAAACACACATATCCTGTCCAGCCCTAGAAGAATATGCACTGTCTTCAACTATGATTCTTGCACAAGGTGAACAGAAAGCTGAAAGTTTCACACAATCATACACCTGCATACATGTATGAGTACATAGTCATATAATCACTGATTCCAGTGAAGCTGCACCAGTTCAGTCCTGGCAAGAAAGAGCTTTATGTCTGTTCCGACTGCTCTCATCTGTTACTTTCAAATATGTTTTTTTCTTTTTTTTTAAGAATGTAGACAATGGATATGTTTCCTTCTTCCCAAATAGGATAATGGAAGGCCAGTGAAGAACATAGGTATCCTCTGATAAATAAAAAAGTTACATATATTTGACATAGCAGGAAAAAATGTGTCAGATTAGAGGGAATTTCTATAAAGTACTTTAACACACAACTACTACCTGTGGAAATCCCACTTCCAATACTTACTATTATGTCTCCACCTCTTAAAAATTGCACTCGGGGCTGGAAAATCAGTAAGTCACACAGGTAGCAGATATCACAAAGGATGTCCATGGTAAACCAATATATTGTATTACTTGGGGTTTGATATGGGAACACAAAGCGAAGGGGAATAAACCAGCAATTCCAATTATACGCGACTGTCACAAGCATGAGCCATGCTACGTAACGGTGATCTGAAAGAAAAAAAACATTGAATTTACAGACATGAACTTAGAATCTTTTCTGATTCTTTTAGACACATTTCTACTGTAGTCTCTGGGAATGTTTCTTCCCAGAGCAACCTACCATTCTCCCTTTTTCAACAGCACAGGCTGATAAAGTGATATAGGCTGGAACTAGGAGTCACAAAAAGAATTTGCAAAAGGGAAAAAAGATGAGTTTATGAGAGCATATAGAATTTAATGTATCTGGAGAAACTCAATACATATTGCATGCTGCTGGTGTGTGTTATAACTGACAAAAGAATTATTTGGCCCTATTGAATAGGACAAATTCTAGATCAAGAATCAGAAGACTTGGGTTTTTAATTGTGGTTGGTTTGCATACCAGCTTTGTGCATACCATCTGTACAACTGTTGTCACTTTTCCTGTCTTTTCCCTGTTTGGAATAAATGTTCTTTGGGGCAGGGTCTGTGTGTCCCTCTGAGTTGCAAACTGGAGTGTGGATCTTATGGTGGCTTATAGGTACTATGTAATCATAGGTCACTTCAGTATGCCTTTACCTCATTCTATTGCATAGCTTTTAATTTACCTGTGTATGAGTCTATGCTGTCTGGTAGCTGCAGATGCTCCATGTATTTTTTCAGTGGAGGTTTTTTGAATTTGCAGCACAGCATATCGCAGTAATGATCCTCCTCTGGCTTTGATTCTGCATCCTCTTTCTTTTCTTCTTTTTTTTCTTCTTTTGGTGGGGGTGGATGCTTCTTCTTTGATGGTGCTAGAAGATGCAGCGTAGAATGCCACAAACAGTGATATCTTTGTAATGGCTCAATTACTACACCCTGGTTTAGCACGTACAAGAGCCTTATCATGCTAAAAACTCTTCTAAAAACACTTGGCAGTGACTAAAGCTACAATTCATTATAATACGGAATGCATTGGAAAACAGATTGGAGAATAAAGTCACCACTGATAATCATGTACATCTGCTCTCAAGAACAGGACACTTTATGTTACGGAGTGCGATATATATATTACTGTATTTCCTTGGACAGTGCTCACAACTAATGCTGTAAAAGACTGACAAGAAATAAGGTAATTCATAATTTAACATTCATTAATACAACTGGGCATTTCTCTTTACATGACTGTTGCAAATAAAGCATGCAGTTAGGATGGAGATAAGAAAAGATGACTGTGCCATGGGCTGATCTCTCCCCTCTCCTGAGATCTCATACGCAAGATGCAGCAGGTGAAACTAATGGGAAGCCTACAGTTTTGTATATTTCTAGGCTTACAAAAGTCTTGTGGCACTCCTTTGAGTCCAGTTCTTCCATCTTTGGGCTGGATAATTTTGTCCATACATTTGTCCCATTAATTCTGGTGGCTTTACCTCTGAGAAGGATACACAGTCTTAGCAGTAAACTGGCAAACTGGATCTATAATGATTTAGGAAATAAATGACTGTAAGTTCTACCAAGAGAGCAAAAGAGGTAAAAGACCAAAGAAATAATTTTTTTTAAAAAGGAATTCCTTTATCAGCTGGGATAGTTTATGATACTTCAGGCACTATTTTTTGCAGCCTATTAAAAAACAGGTAAGTAATAAACAGCTTCTAAAAAATGTCAGAATATACAATCACCACACTCAATTCTTTGGGAAAAGGAAAAAAAAAGTAAAACTTTCTTCTGAAGAGGAAAAACATCATATTTTTTTATGTTTCATATTTTGACAAAAGTCAATATTTAATTAATTTCAGATGAGTTTGCTCTATTCAAGGCATGTACTTTGAGTCCTCAGTGTGTCTGGAAGATTGCTGCCATGGCTAAAATTTTATTTACTTTTACACAGCAGAGCTAATCTCAGAGAGACTAATGTCTACTCATAAGATACTTATGTTTCTTCATATGTTTCAGATTCATTCCCATGAATAAACATATCTGGGAGTTATTTTAAAATATAGAAAACTGCTTGACAGGGATGATTCTAGACATTACCCAAGTTTTTTTTCCCCAGTTCTTCAGTGATGGGGTTCAAAGGTAGCTCATACCTAAGGACCTGGCTTGTTTAGCTAATATGGATAAATTGACTTCAGTGGGCACAAACTGATCCATTTCAGTGGGTAAACATGCTATACTTACTTGAAAATTTTATCACAGTATTTTCTGTTCCCACAAAATAGTTTTCATCTTTAAACTCAAAAAATGCACAGTTATTTCTTGAGTCACTTACAAGCTGTAGGACTGCCTTCAGGGGAGGACAGCACTGGGTCTTTCAGCTTTTCCTTGTATACTGTTGTCCTTTCCCGCATTTTTCTGACAATCTCCTGAAGCTGGGCATCAGCATACTCATTTGTTTGGAAACCTGAAGGTGTTGGCTTCTGTATGCTAATTAAAACAAAAGGGAAAAAGCTTAATGTACTGGAAAGCAGTGGAAAGAAACAGTGCTAAATCTACTTCTGAGGAGAAGTCAGACATTAAGATTAGACCTTTATTGGCCACAGTGCTTATTCACATCACTTAATTCATGGTAGGTGGACATCTAAGTTAACTGTTCTTGCTTCCTGCTTATGCCAGCAGCAGTCTACACGACATTTCAGGCAGAGGAGGTCAGGGTACCCTGTGCTCTGCATAGCCCACTGAACTAATGACTTTTCACTACTGCTTTTCACCAAGTTCTACTGTGGCTATGTAAGGCCTAGAGCTTATCCCGTGTATTTGCTAATATACAAGGCACGCTCTTCCCATCTGTGCATAAAAATGTGCTCGTTATTATACTGTAATATCCTAATGATGACAGGACATAACCGAGTTAGAGAGTGATGTGCAGGTGGGGGAGGAGAGACTATGCTTACTTTATGCTTCCTAACACGGAAAGTTTATTTCATCTGGGTTTTGTCAAGGGTCTTAGCTAACATGAGGTAAAAAGTGCATCTGTTTTAGTAAGTGGAAACAAAACACTGGTGTTCTTGCTGAAGTTTCTTCGGTTTCCACTAAGCACTCACAGCATTTCCTCAAACCTGAGGACCACTGATTTTCAAATACCTGCAAACTCACATTCTGGACTGAAACTAATGTTTTTAATAGGATCTATGCATGCTGCACAGTCAATTAGAAAATCTAGGTGAGAGTGATTCTTGATCAACTCTTTTGGGCTTATTCATACTTGAAATTTCATCCTCAATTACATGCTACTGTCTGATTATGCAAACTAGGGCTGTTTTGGAGTGCCACCCAGCTGGCAGCTGGGCCATGCATTTGTACTTCTGTATCCTAGACTCAACACTTCTCAGCTGGTGTCACGCACTGGTGTCAGAACTGGCTGGAAACGGCTGTGACCAGCACAAGGCAGCTCAAGGCTTCCTCCCACACATGTCACAACTGCCACCCCTGTACCAAAACCCTGCCAGCTATGCCCAGTACAGGGAGTACAGCAGAGAATTGTTCTTTCTTTCTTAACAGTTTTTCAGCTCTGTCCCAAATACCATGGGGATGTGGATGTTACAGTAAGAGAAGAGGCAGACCAAGAGTGAAGCATGCCCCAAATTTCCAGATTCTTGAGAACACCTTCCCAAAGGTGAGTAGAGGGAAAGTGGTATGACAGCACCTTGGGTAGGCAAGAAACGAAAAACATTGCGAACTGATCTTTGAATAAACACCATGTCTCCTCAAGACCTAAACCTACATTGAAGTTCCTAACAGGAGCTATAACTAAAAAAGGAGAGGGTCAGAGTGGGATGTGTGTAGCTTTTTGAGAAGCATGCTTTTCTGGAGGCACAACACATATCATGATGCCCAAGGAAGTATAATTTAAGGATGTGAAAATCCTTCAGCAATAAACTATTGGATAAAATGGAGGGAAGCTGTTAAAGGCAGAAGAAGAAGAAATCTGGAAGTACGTGCTTATCATTCCTCTAATTTAAGTCTTCTGTAGTGTCTATTTTTTAAAACTTCCCAGACAGGAGATTTATCAGGCAGTTCTCATATACATTGTAATCTCATCACAGTTCCTTTTGTGTCACATATTCCCTTTGCTCAGGCTATCTTCAATGTAATGAAATCCTTTCTTATTTTGAGCTAACATGTCACAACTAGTTTTTCAGCTTCTATGCAAAGAATTTCTTAGTCTTTGCTGTTGCTGTATTTGCTCAGGGCATTAGCTATCTTATAGTAAAATACACTTAACACAAGTGTCATGCCAAAGGCCCCTTCTATCTGCTTTCTAGGGATAAGCTATAAATTGTGTGGGATTTTCTTGTTATTTCACAGCCTTTCCAATAAAAGTTAAAGTCTCCTCTGCCATGAGTTTGGTCCTTTATCATTGCAATTTAGCCCAAAGGAACCATGTTGTTATTTGGTACTGATCAGAAACTATGTGACTTTGTTTAAAGTTATTTGCCCCACAGTTGATGAGAAATTGATTTTCCTTGCCCTACTTCTCATTTGGTTTGTGTTATTTCCTCCTCTATTATTTCTACTAACAAAATGCTTACTTTAAATTTTCTCTGGTTACTGCAGATGGAAGAGGCTGCATGTTGAACACTGCTAATTTGAAGATGTGTATTGTACGTGTGCTTTGTGTGGAGGCACACTTTAAATTGCCTTGGCTAATGAAGCCCATTCAAACTCGACTAAATCACTTCTAATAAACTTGACTCCATCTCTCGCATTAGGTGGTGCTAGGATTTGTCTCTAGGCTGATATGTTATTCTTTAAGCAAATTTATCTCTGACCTTTTTGCAATATGTTACAATAAACCTAGGTCTATATTACTTACTACACCATATAGTCCTTTACAGAGCAGAAATGTTTACTCCTTACAGAAGTAATAATTTCACATGGCCTAGGAAATGAAAAAGTTAGGACCACAACTCATGTACTATGCACACAGTTTTGTTATTACCTCAAACATACTTTGTTTAACAATAGCAACATATGTAACAATAGAATTATAATAATAATGTAGTTTTCTTATGTTTTTGTCGTGGTTTAACCCCAGCCAGCAACTAAGCACCACGCAGCTGCTCACTCACTCCCCCCCACTCAGTGGGATGGGGGAGAAAATCGGGAAAAGAAGTAAAACTCCTGGGTTGAGATAAGAATGGTTTAATAGAATAGAAAAGAAGAAACTAATAATGATAATGATAACACTAATAAAATGACAACAGTAATAATAAAAGGGTCGGAATGTACAAATGATGCGCAGCGCAATTGCTCACCACCCGCCGACTGACACACAGCCAGTCCCCGAGCGGCGATTCCCCCGCCCCCACTTCCCACTTCCTAAAGTAGATGGGACATCCCATGGTATGGAATACCCTGTTGGCCACTTTGGGTCAGCTGCCCTGGCTGTGTCCTGTGCCAACTTCTTGTGCCCCTCCAGCTTTCTCGCTGGCTGGGCATGAGAAGCTGAAAAATCCTTGACTTTAGTCTAAACACTACTGAGCAACAACTGAAAACATCAGTGTTATCAACATTCTTCGCATACCGAACTCAAAACATAGCACTGTACCAGCTACTAGGAAGACAGTTAACTCTGTCCCAGCTGAAACCAGGACAGTTTTAAATTTGTAGGTTTTATCTTTTTCACTTATAGGTTTATACTTGTTTGTTCAGTGAATAAAATTACAGTGCCTTAATTCTCCCCATGCTGAGAGAAAAGATTTAGACACCTATAGCATAGTGGAAGAAAATGGCCTTGAAAGAACAGGCCATGGAAATACTGTGTTGAGTGTGCTAATGTATGTAACATCTCTTAAGTACCGTGGCTTGGAAGTTTTCTGTCTTAAGAGTTCAAACAAAACAGTGATCAAGAAATGCAATAGGTTATTTCAGGATAAATCAAGTTTACCCTTTTCTAAGTTGCAATCTAGAGTTTAATTCTTTCTTGATTTTTGGCCATGAACACCAAGTACCTGAGTTTAATTCCATGTTCTATCTACATGGTGACCGCTGAGAAAATGTATTTCATAAATGTATGCTGCTGCCTGAAAAAAATTCATACCACTTTTTGCTGATTTCAGTTATAACCCCTCTTTTTGCAGCACTTAAGAAACTTTCTCTTATCTTCCTGGAAATAAAATTCTTGATCTTGCAATAGAACTTTTAATGCTTTTATTGAGCTCTGACATTATGGTTTATGATTACATTTACAACCTGTGTCTTGAAAAAATAATCTGTTGTCTTGAATAAATTATGGAGACTCTCTAATTCAAATAACCAATTTTCAGAAGGATATGACAATGCATAGCTATACAAACATGCAAAAACCATGATGGTATAGCTGAGAAAGATTTCAGCGAGATAAAAAAATGTAGTTCTAGGCACCATGAAAGATTGATTCAAAAACACATTCTCAATTTGTGCTGACAATCCCAGTGTGGGTAATGCTATAGAAACCAGAACCTTCTATCTGTCCCCGGTTCCAAGTCTAAGCTCACACATCCTAAATGACTAGGAAACCTAATGTTTCTCTGAAATAGAAAAAAATACGTTAGTCATCTGCTTGGTACAGGAACAGGGGTATTCCGAAAAGCTAACTTTAGCTATTCTGATTATGCTCCATTTATAGTCAATAGAAGGCTTCTCTGAGGAGAGGTTCAGAATGACTAAGATTGGTTTCTGCTCTGAATTGCCTGTGAAAGGAGCCTATCCTCCTTTACCTGCACTGGAAGCTGATGGAGTTTTAGGAGTGAGCTTTAATATTTTCTTTAATGATGTCGGTACAAAATGTAGCATTGTGCTAATGATGTTTGATAGGACATTGGATTTGGAAGATTGAAAAGTAGGACTGATTCCTACACAGGAAAAATTGAATTATTTGAACCGAGTAATAGAAACGAGAACAAATCTAAAGTTACATAATGCAGACATGCATTTAGAAACAAATTGTAAGAATTTCTTTTGTAAATGGTGGGATCATCAATTGCAGATGACAAAAGGATAAATATCCAAGTGTTTTAGTCAACAGCAAGGTGCCTATGAGCCATATTGTAATCTGGCTACACTGGTACAAATATAATCATAGACTGAATCTGACATATTGCCAGTGAAGGAAAAATTACTATTGGTATATAAGCCAACGGTGGGAATTGTACTGACCAGCTATACTCAAAAGGTGAATTCATGTAGGAAACTGTATAAAGCCTCTTAGAATGATCAAGGCTGCTGGGAACATAGCTTTAAAAAGGGCAGCAAAACAGACTGAGAGGCAGTAGGATTGTTGTGTATAAATTCAAATTTTGGTGGAGAACTGTGTAGGGAAACAAGTATCTGAGCTGAGGAAGAGTATTGTAATAATAATAAATGTGAATAGAAATGCCACAAAGTAATATGAGTTAAAGGTCTGAAGAAAGTTTCTAAGCCTTTTAAGTCCGGGATACTAGACA